GAGGAGGAACAAACTTTCCTCTACACTCAAGTTTTTTCTGACTGGTCTAATAATCAAATAGACATGAGACAAAAGAAAATAATCAAATTGAATACATACATATATATGGGAACCCTGCATACATGAGAGAGTAGAGATCCCCACATGCAGCAGAGGTTCAGAGACGGAAATGGAACATGGGTATATATATAAGACGTTCTGAGCTATGGATGAAGTAAAGTGCCTCGGGGGCTTCATAAGGTCATTGAAGGATAAGAAGAGCAGACCTTTAGTAAATAGTTTTCCTTGCCCTATAGATACAGGTCAAAAGAAGTTATTTTTTGTAATCTCTTATGGGCAAGGCCTCTAATTCAAATTCTTCCAGGTAGTTGGGGGTCGGTTGTGTGTGTGCAGAAGTTTCTCTTGGGCCCGTGGTTAAAGTAGTATTTAGCTCAGAACAATCTGCATACCACAGAGGCACATCTAGGGATGACTCACTCTCGACCCCCACAGTGTAAAGGACAGGAAAGGTCCTTCAAGGAGCTTACATTCTAATGTGAGAAACAGAGTAAACAAACAGACAAAACAATGACAAATTGTGATAAGTGCTATGAAGAAATTAAGTTCCTATAATTGAAAATAATTAAACCTTACCTACTCTTGGAGGGAGCTAGCTTCTTCCTGCCCTACCACAACAAAGGCATTTCTCCGCTGATCAGCTGTAATGTCCTGAGTCTGCCAGTGGTACTCAGTTGTAGGTGCCTGCAGAGAATTAAAGCTTTCCAGTATAGCTTTGGTTGGCCCTGCAAGGCATAAGGAAAAGAGCTAGCCTGGCCGGTGCGGCTCAGTAGATTGAGCATCGTCCCGTGGACTGAGAGGTCCTGGTTTGATTCCTGGTCAGGGCACGTGCCCAGATTACAGCCTCAATCCCCAGTTAGGGGTGTGTGGGAGGCAGCTGATTAATGTTTCTCTCTTATTACTGTTTCTATCTCTTCTCTCTCTAAAAAATCAATAAAAGCGTATTCTTTTAAAAAAGATCTAATTGTAAAAGGAGAGAAGGATACAATTGACTATATAAAACTTAAAACTTATCAAAATACACCTTTAACTCCCTGGCCAGTTTGGTTCAGTGGTTAGAGCATCGGCCCACAGACCCGAGGGTCTCATGTCTGATTCTGGTCAAGGGCACATACCTTTGTTGTGGTTCAGTTCCCGGCCCTGGTCAGTGTGTCTCTCTCACATTGATGTTTCTCTCACTCTCTCTCCCACTCTGTCTGAAAATAAAAATGGAAAAATATCCTCGGATGAGGATTAAAAAAATATATACCTTTAAAGAAAATAAGGAGATGAAGATATTTACAACACATATAACTGACCAAAGATTAGTTTTATTTTATTATTTATTTATTTATTTTTATCCTCACCCGAGGACATTTTTCCATTTTTTGTTCAGATAGAGTGGGAGGGAGGGGGGGGGGAGAGAGAGAAACATCGACGTGAAAGGGATGCATCGAGTGGCCGCCACCTGCACGACCCATCCAGGGCTGGGGACAAACTGCAACCCAGGTATGCGCCCTTAACAGGAACTGAACCCGGATCTCTCTGGACTGCAGGCCAATGTTCTAACCACTGAGCAAAACTGGCCAGGGCCCAAAGATTAGTTTTAGGAAAAAGAATACACACACACACTTCTTTTCATTATATATATAAATTTCTGAAAATCAGTAAGAAAAAGATAATTCAATAGGGAAATGAGGAAAAATAAAGGAAACAAAAACCAAAGGCTGATTCTTTGAGAAGAACAATAAAATTGATAATCTCTAGCCAGACTGACTGATCAAGAAAAACTGAAAACATAAATTTCCAGTATCAGAAATGATAGATGTAGCACCACTAGATTTTACTATTTAAAGGATAAAAGAATATTATGGCTCTGGCCAGTGTGGTTCATTCTGTATAGTGAAAGGTCATGGGTTCGATTTCCGGTTAGGGCATATACCCAGGTTGTGAGTTCAATCTCTGGTAGGAGTGTGTGTGGGAGGCAACCAATGGGTGTTTCTCTCTCCCTCTGCCTTCTTCTCTCTCTAAAGTCAATAAAAACATATTCTCAGGTGAGGATTTAAAAAAAAAAAAAGAGCCCTGGCCGGTTTGGCTCGGTGGTTAGAGCGTTGGCCTGAGTCTGGAGAGACCCGGGTTCAGTTCCCGCTAAGGGCACGTACCTCAGTTGCAGTTTGTCCCCGGTCCTGGTTGGGTCATGTGGGTGGCAACCACTCGATGTGTTCCTTTCATGTCGATGTTTCTCTCTCTCCCTCCCACTCTATCTGAACAAAATATCGAAAAATGTCCTCGGGTGAGGATTAAAAAAAAAAAAAATAGAGCCCTGGTGAGTTTCGCTCAGCAGTTACAGTGTCAGCCTGCAGACCAAACAGTTGTGGGTTCGATTCCAGTTAAGGGCATGTACCTTGGTTTTGGTTCGGTTTCTGGCCCTGGTTGGGGTCTTGCAGGAGGCAACCAGTCGATGTGTCTCTCACATCGATGTTCTTTTTCTTTCTCTCTCCCACCCATTCCATCTGAAGAGAAATGGAAAAATATCTTTGGGTGAGGAAAGAAAAATATTATGAACAACTTTATGGCAAGAAATTCTGCAACTTAGATAATTTCTTGAAAGACACAAACTGAAAATTAAAGAAGAAATGGATAATCTAAGTAGTTCTATCTATTAACCAAACTGAAATTGGGGTTTAAAGCAATCTAGCAAAGAATACTCCAGACCCACAAAACTTTACTGGTGAAATCTACCAAATATTTAAGGAATACTACCACTTCTACACAAACTCTTGCAAAAAATTGAAGAGGGAATGTATCCCAACTCGTTCTATAAGTCCATTACAAAAAACAAATGTTCCTCAAGAACCCAGATGTAAAAAATGTCAAAATTTTAGCAGGTTGAACCCAATAGTATATTAAAAGGATAATATGGCCCTGGCCGGTTTGGCTGAGTGGTTAGAGCGTTGGCCTGCGGTCTGGAAAGACCCAGGTTCGGTTCCCGCTAAGGGCACGTACTTCGGTTGCAGTTTGCCCCCGGCCCTGGTTGGTAATGTGGGTAGCAGCCACTCGATGTGTCCCTTTCACATCGATGTTTCTCTCTCTCCCTCCCACTGTATCTGAACAAAAAATGGAAAAATGTCCTTGGGTGAGGATAAAAAAAACACAATTGCTTCTCCCCACCTCCGGTATCAAAAGTAATACAACGGTGTCAGTGCTCTCCACTTGTAGTCGCCATTTACTGGAGGTTTTGACCAGTGCGTTTTGGCAAGAAAATGAAATGATAAAAAACATCCAAATTTGAAAGGAATAACTAAAACTATTTTTATTTGCAGACAACATAGAATTCTCTCTTCAGCCAAGCTATCAATCATATAAATGTTAGAGTAGAATAAAGTCCTGCAAAAGACTCAGAAAATTGACATTCTAAAATATCCTTTCTTAGGAAGTTTCAGGACTTGAAAATGTATTCCAGTAAAGAGTAAACCAAGAACTGGGAGATGTAGAGGATCGTAGAAGGATCAGCCACAACGGGGTAGGAACCAGCTTGGGAGCAGTGGGGCAGGCCTGGAGGACACTAGATCTGAGCATGAGGATGTGCCCAGGAGACAGAAGAATGTACACAGGGGCATTCAAGTTTGAACAGAATTGAGGCTCTGGTGAAGACAAAGAGAGGAAATTACAAAAGTGAAGACCTGCAGGAGAGGCAGCCAGCTGTGTAAGAAAGCCAGAGTACAGATTTGAAGTCTGCTAATGGGAGGCTATGTTTAAGCAATATAATGGGAAAGTGAGGGGAAGAAATATTTCATTTTGATGTTTCAAGGATTTTTTTCCTAAAAGGGCCCAGGGTGCCATGGCCAGTGTGGCTCAGTTCGTTGGGTGTCATCCTGTGTACTGAAGGGTTGCTGGTTCAATTCCCGGTCAGGGCACAGGCCTGGGTTGTGGGCTGGATCCACAGTGGGGGGCGTGTAGGAGGTAGCTGATTGATGTTCCCGCTCTCACGTTGATGTTTCTCTTTTTCCTTCTCCCTTCTTCTCTCTCTCTCTCAAAATCAGTAACAATTTTTTGAAAAAGGCCCAGGGATTGGAGCAGTGCCCATGTGGAGAAGGAAATGGGCCAAAGAGAAAGATATTCTTGGTTTAGTGTATTGACATATTCATAAATGCTTCTCATTAATTTTCAGATTATAGAGCCAGTTTCTCACATGATGAGTTAGGAGAAATATAGCTGACAGGAAGGTATATGTGGAAGTTAGACAAAGGCAGATTGGACCTTTATTAAAGACCAAAACACAAAAAACCCCTCCTTCCTTGAGTTAGGTTTCTAGTTATTGTGTTTTAACTGGTTTGGTAACAATTCAGGAGAAATGACAACCTATTTGATAAAAACAGACACAACAAATGTGCATGAGTGCAGCATGGAAAATACAAAGCTATTGCAACTTAGCAGTGCTGGCTGGGTGAGCAGAAATTCTCTCTGGGGAGGTTAGCTTAGGGCCATGCTCAGTGTGGGCTGAAGGCATACTTTTGGGACTGTCTTGGAGGGCGAAGTCTGGATGTCTCTAGGTGACACTGTTAGAGACAGAAGGGCTCAGTCTAGAGGAGGCCACAGGAAATGGCAGCATCACAGAGCCTTTAAATAAGTAGAGGGTTAGATTTGCACCTGGTGTGGCTGTCATGGAAGGACACCATTCTCCGGAGTGGTACAGAAGTCCTTGATGCAAGTGAGAGCTCCAGGTAAGAGAGTGGGAATAACTACATATTCACCCAAGATCAAAGGTACGTTGCAGACAGAGTGGGGCTGAGTGGTAAGCTGTCTTCTAGAAAGGTGTCTACTGTCATTGTTCTTCCATTGGTCTAGTCTCTGCAGGGCAGGTGATGTTTGTGTGCTGTGGGACAGCCAGTGACAGCTGTCTGTGTGCTGCATGGACCCAGTGTGTGTAGACATTTGTTGACTGGCTGCCTTTTTTTCAACAGGCGTGGTGTCTGTCTGTTTTGAGGGGGACAGTGATGGTTACATCAACTTGGTGGCCTACCCTTATGTGGAAAGTGAGACCGTGGAGCAGGATGACACACCAGAGCGGGAGCAACCTCGGCGCAAACACTCCCGCCGGAGCCTGCATCGGTCAGGCAGTGGCAGTGACCACAAGGAAGAGAAAGCCAGCCTGTCCTTTGAGACCTCTGAGAGGTAAGGGGCTGGTGATCAGGGCTGAAGGTGCACGTCTGGTCCTGTCAGCATCAACACTCAGGCATGGCCAGAGTCCTCGCACATGTTTCCATGGGGAAATAGGCCTAAGTTAGGGGAAGGTGGCTGCTGCTCTTGGGTCACCCATGTAGGTATGACCTATCCCCTGTGTGTCACATCACCCCAATGAGGACTTCTGAGTGTGGCTGTGGCTGGTTGAGAGAGAATGAAGCTCTTTTGGCCCTTGGGAAGCAAGGATGCCCTGTGCCCTTCAACTTTGTTGTATCTCTCACCCCAAGACAGAAGGTCAAGATGTATCGGTCCACTGTGAGGTTGCAGCTTCTTTCTGACCTGCAGGATGTCAGAGCCCAAGGGCAATGAGAGGACATCCAGACTAATATTTTTATGGGCTTTGGGTGTCAGATCTCTCTGTGACTCTGATATCAGCTACTAACCCTTTCCCTGCGCTTAAAATTTTGTTTATTGCATTGGAAATTGATTTTTCTTATAGATTAGGAAAATTGCCTATAAAGAATTGTTTCTTGCTATTTTTGTGCAAAAAAATGTGAACTCCCACTAGGAGGGCAATAATCAAAAGTACAGACAAAAGCCCTAGCCTGGTTTTGCTCAGCAGTTAAGTGTTGGCCTGTGGACCAAAGGATCTTGGGTTCGATTCCAGGGCAAAGGCATGTACCTCAGTTGCATATTTGATCCCTGGCCCTGGTCAGGGTCGTACAGGAGGCAACCAATCGATGCTCCCCCCACCCCCATTCTTTCTAAAAATAAATGGAAAAATATCCTCGGGTGAGCATTAACAACAACAGTGAACAAGTACAGACAATGAAAATGTTGTTGAGAATGTAGAGAAAGTGGAACTTTCCTACATGCTGATGGAAATGTAAAATAGTGCAGCCACTCTGGAAAACAATTAGTTCTTCAGAAAGCTAAAGCAATTCCACTCCTAGGTATGTATCCAAGAGAACTGAAGAAATATAACGCACACAAAACTTGTACATAAATCTTCATAGCAGCGTTAGTTCTAATAGCCAAAAAAGTGTAAACAGCCCAAGTGTCCATCAATTGATGAATGCATTAATAAAATGTGATATATCTATACAATAGAACATTACTCAGCGACAGAAAAGAATGGAGTACTGATACACACTACAACAAGTATGAACCTTGAAACCATTATGCTCAATGAAAGAGGCAAGTCACAGAAACCACGTTCTGTAATTGTTTATATAAAATGTTCAGAATAAGTAAATCCACAGAGACAGAAAGCGTGTTAGTGGATGCCAGAGACTGAGGAGGAGGGGAGGATGGGAAGTGATTGCTAATAGTAACAGTATTTGATTTTGGGGTGATGAAAAAAGTGTCCTAAAAATTAGATAGTGGTGATGTTTTACAATCTTGTGAATATACTGAAAAAACCACTGAAGTGTATTAAAAAAACCCACCACCACCAACAACCAAAAATAATAAAACTAATGTAAACTAAAAATAATGTGAGCTTCCTGAAACAAAGTGAAATCAAAATTGTATGATTCAATTACTTTATATTTAATGTCACTCAAAAATAAGTTTCTGTGAATAGGATGCCCTGTGACCTGACTTAGTTGGAATGGGACTTTCTTACATGTGGCAGCATGTAGTTTATCTCTGACATCAGATTAGTTCAGCAACATGTGCTGCACACCCAGCTGCTGAAGCTCAGCGGCCCAGGGCCTTCCTGTGTCCTCTCTGCCTTTAATGGAAGTGGACACACATCGAAGAGCACAGAACCTCATGGGACTCTGGCTGTGTGTGTGATGTGTCACTTCCTGTGTCCTAGGTGGGGGTCCTCTGTGGTCAGGTCTGCATCTCTGATGCCAGGAGAGGGCTTCACCTCTGCTCTGTAGTAAGCAGGGTCTTCAGATGGTGAACTTTTTTGTGGATAATGGACTCCTGCAGAAGCTTTCATGGCTTCCTTTCCATGCCCCAGCAGCTTCCTCATGACTGATGATTGTGGCACCTAAGCTTGGTCGTTCAGGTGACAAGGACTATTCCCCCAGTCCATAGCTGGCAGTTTATACCTCTCTTGGCAGCTCTTAGTAGTGAGCTTTCTTTTCTCTGAAGTTATGGAAGTTATTTCATGCATCATCTGGTCACAAGCCAGTGAACATAGAACCACATCAAGGTCTGCCCATGTCCAGGTTCAAGGCCCTCCTCTGAAGGTGAGAGCTGGTACTCGCAGGGACCATACTTCTGTTTGGCTTGTTAGCAGTCTCTAAGTCATTCCCAGGAGTGGAGCTTGTTTCTTCCCTGGGGCCAGGGCTGTAGCCAAGGGTGATGCCAAGTACCACAGGGGCCCTGTCCAGGCGCAGAGAACTAATTTGGTTTTACTTGGCAAGTAAGTCAACCTTGCTGTTTCTTTTATTGTTTTTCCTAATATGTTTTTATTGACTTATTTTTTTCTTTATTGATTTTAGAGAAAGAGGAAGGGAGAGGGAGAGAGGGATACAAACATCGATGAAAGAGAACATGGATTGGCCGCCTCCTTGATGCCCTGGCCGGGAATCAAACAGGCGACCTCTTGGTGCATGGGTCGATGCTCAACCACACTGGCCGGGCTGTTTTTATTAATTTTTTTAGAGAGAGGAAAGGAGAAAGAGAGAGAATCATCAATCGGCTGCCTCCTGCATGCTCCCTACGGGGATCAAGCCCGCAACCCGGGCATGTGCCCTGACTGGGAATTGAACTGGGACCTTTCAGTACATGGGACGATACTTAATCCACTGAGACACACTGGCCAGGCAGTCTTGCTGGTTCCTAAAGTGGATCACAAAAGGGCACCCATGCATGTCCTCAGCAGTGCCCTCAGCAGAAGAAAATGGGACCTTTGTCATGCTGCAAGGCACTGCATGGCTCCTCTACTTCCAGTTAAAGGAGCACAGACTCTGCCAGTGCCACCCTGCTGGGGAGCATCAGCAGCTCTGCAGGGGACAGTGACATCGACATCGCTGCAGCAGCCACCTCTGCTCTGAGCTGCAGCTGCGCTGCCGTTCCCAGGGCACCGCTTGGCCGTGCTTGGCTTGGCCGTGCGACACAGCAGCCCTGCAGGTTCCTTCCCTGAGGGCTTTGCTGTTGGCAAAGATGAACTTGTGGCAGAGCTGTGATGTTTTCAGGTGGAGTCGTCTTCTCACCAAAGTCCCTTTGTGGTTTGACTTATTTTAGAAATAAAGTTTTCTTTCTCTCTGTTTTCTGTGTTCTCTTCAGTTACTCCCGGTTCTCTCCCTTTCCTGCGTTCTCCTCCCTCTCCCGATTCTTTTCATTTTCCGCGTTCACTTTGCTCTCTCCTGATTTTCTCCGTTTTCTGAGTTCTCTTCACTCTCTCCTGCTTTAAAAATAAAATGAAATAGAAATAAAGTTTTCTTATTTGGATGGCTTCATGCCTTTCTCTCCACAGGTGCACCCTGGTCCACTGAGAACCACAGGTCCTTGGGGCCTGCTCTTCTTTTCTTTGATGTTTTCTTCCTTCTTCCAGGCCCGAGACAGAGGCCGACACATGTTCAGAAGCATAATGTCAGCCTCTGCTTCCTGGCAATCTTAAAGAACAATTCTGTTGTTGGTGTCACGGACTCTGTACCCCATCTGAAAGAATAATTATTCTGGTCCTTGATCATGGCATCTTGTGCTCCACCCTGTGTGGATGAAGTGTGAACCACATGATCATCAATTTTTGTAATTTTTTACATTGTGGTAAAATACACATAACAAAATTTACTGTTTTCACCTTTTCCCAAAAACATTTGAGTGGCATTAAGTACATTCACATTGTTGTGTAGCCATCACCACCATCCACTAGTCCATCATCCTCAAAAGAAGCTCTATATGTATAAACAACTAACTCCATTCTTTCCCCCCAACCCCTGGCAGCTGCCCTCTACTTTCTGTCCCTCTGAATTTGAGTTACCTCATGTGAGTGGAATCATATTCTTTTGTGTGTGGCTTATTTTACTTAGCAAAATATTTTCAGGGTTCATCCGTGTATCAGAATTTTATTTCTTTTTATACTCAGTACCATTCCACAAATAGATATATACCATGTTTTATTTACCCATCCATCCACTGGTGGACACTCAGGTTGTTTCCAGCTCTTGTTTATTGTAATACTGCTATGAGCATTGATTCAAGTGTTGGTTTGAGTTTCGTTTTCAGTTCTTTCAGATATATACCTAGGAGTGGAGTTGTTGGGTTGTATGATAATTCTGTGCTGAACTTTTTGAGGAACTGCCAAACTTTTTCACAGTGGCTGCACCATTTTACATTCCCTCCAGTAGTGTATGAGAGTTCCCATTTCTTCACCTCCTCAACAGTTCATTTTATTTTTATAATAGCCTTCCTAATGAATGTGAAGTGATATCGTCATCACATTGTTTAATGCAAAGAATTCTTTCTCAGACATTTTTTTTTTAAATCCTCGCCCAAGGATATTTTTCCATTTATCTTCACATAGAGTGGGGGTGGGGGAGTGGGGAGATAAACTGATATATGAGAGAGGCACATCGACTGGTTGCCTCCCACACTACCCAGACCAGGGCTGGGGACCAAACCACAACCAAAGTACGTGCCCTTGACCAGAATTGAACCCGCAACCCTTTGGTCCACAGGCCAACGCCCTAAATGCTGAGCCATACCAGCCAGGGCTCTCACACATTTTTTTAGAGACACAGGAAGATCACTCACAACCATTTACTTGCGTTGATGTGCTCATGCATCTTGGGCCCCCATGCCACACCAGCAGGGTCTGTGGGTGGCAAATTAGGCCTCTTCCACCCTGTGCACTGAGACCCAGAGGGTGACGTGTGTGTGTGTTTTTCTCCTTAGCTCCCAGGAGGCAAAGAGTCCGAAGGTGGAGCTACACAGCCCTTCAGACGTCCCTTTCCAGATGCTAGATGGCAACAGTGGTCTGAGCTCTGAGAAGATCAGCCACAACCCCTGGAGCCTGCGCTGCCACAAGCAACAGCTGAGCCGCATGCGCTCTGAGTCCAAGGACCGAAAGCTCTACAGTATCCTTGTTACTGCTCCTTTGTTCTCTGCTTTTTCATAGGCTTTTCTTTCTCTTCTTCCTCCTTTTATCCACATAGTGTGTGTTTTTTTCTGCCTTTTGGGGCTAAGACTGAATCTTAAACTTGCTCTGGAAAGGTGCTGCCCAGTAGACCTCTGTGTGATGGTGGAAGAATTCTGTACCTGTGCTTTTTGCCAGTGTGGTGAGTGCAGTATCAAAGCCTGGTTGCTGTGAATTGAGTTACTGATTTTTTTTTTTTCTCTTTAATCCTCACCCGAGGACACTTTTCCATTTTTGTTCAGATAGAGTGGGAGGGAGAGAGAGGAAGAAACACAGAGAGAGAGAGAAACATCGATGTGAAGGGACACATCGAGTGGCTGCCTCCTGCACGACCCAACCAGGGCCGGACAAACTGCAACCGAGGTATGTGCCCCTGGCTGGAATTGAACCTACAACTTATTGGTCCTCAGGCCGACACTCCAATGGCTGAGCCAAACTGGCCAGGGCGAGTTACCGAATTTTAAATTTATTTATTTATTCATTTTTTAACTTTAAAATTTTTTTTATCTTCACCCGAGGATATTTTTGCCTTCATCTTCAGATAGAGCAAGAGGGAGAGGGGGATGTGAGAGAGAGAGACATCAACTGGCTGCCACCCACATGACCCCAACAGGGGCTGGGGACAAACTGCAACTGAGGTACTTGCCCTTAGCGGGAACTGAACCCAGGTCCCTCTGGACCGTGGGCAGATGCTCTAACGGTTGAGCCAAACAAGCCAGGGCTTATATTTATTTTAACTAATTAAAATTTAAATCACCAAATTTGGCTAGTAGCTGCCATATTTATCAATGCATGTCTAGAATCAGGTGTGTGTGTGTGTGTGTGGGCACATAGACATGCACATGTGTATTTCTTCCCTCCCAAAAGATAATAATTAAAAATTAATAGGTTTGATTTTAGTGGTTTTTGGTTTTGCTTTTTGTCTAAAGATAAACACCAAAGCTGTACAATGTAAAATACTTTTATGATGTTAAAGATAAAAAGTGTTAATTATGAAGTGGGACCCCTTATCATCACTTAGGGTTTTGCAGCAGTAGACAGTGAATGACTGATCTTACTGAGACACCGAGGGGAAATGTGCCGAGCACGTCATACGTATTTACTCAGTTTTCAGGATGGTCTCCGAGGGAGGTCCTGCTGGACTCCCATCTTTAGAGGAAGAAATGCAAGCACAGGGGCGCGGTAAGTGTTGTGTCCAGAGCCAGTGAGTGGCCAGAGCAGGATTCAGGAGTCCATGCTCTCAGGCACTGAGATATTTCTGTAGCCTTCTTTAGGATTTATTGTCACTTATTTATAGATTATAGCAGGTGATAGATTAATTAAAGGCCAAATTTAATGGTTTTCTGTAAGTCATTCTTTTTTTTTTAATCCTCACCCAAAGACATTTTTTTTATTTATCTTCAGAAAGTGGGAGGGAGAGAGAAACATTGATGTGAAAGAGACACATCAACTGGTTGACTCTCGCATGACCCAGACCAGGGCCAGGGCCTGAACCGCAATCGAGGTATGTGCCCTTGACTGGAATTGAACCCGTGGCTCTTTGGTCCACGGGCCAATACTCTAACTGCTGAGCCAAATGGGCCAGGGCTGTAAGTTATTCTTTAAAGAATTAGGAAGTGTTAAAATGTTCATCATCAGAGTGATACTTAGTGTCTTATCTGCTGAGGCTGTATGATTGTGTCGTCATCCCCAGATATGGAAGTGAGGTCCAGGCTGTGGGTCCCAATGACATTTGGCAGATATAAAAAGAGCCTATACCTTTATCCAAGATTGTTGCCAACAGCCTTGGCCATGTGGCTTAGTTGGCTGGAGTGTCATCCCATCCACTGAAAGGTTGCAGGTTTGATTCTTGGTCAGGACACATACCTTGGTTGCGGGTTTGATACCAGTTGGAGCGTGTATGGGAGGCAACCAGTCAATGTTTTTTGCTGACATTGGTGTTTCTTTTTTCCTTCTTCTCTCTCTAAAATCAATAAAAAGCATATCTGTGGGTGAGGATTAAAAAAATACAAAGATTGTTGCAGACAGTAGATTTAGATGAAAACATGGATATAAATGACAGGTGGCCAGGACCATAGAGTGGTTTTGAGGAGAAGGTCCTAGAAGTATTAAGGGATAAGTTTTAAATATGTAGTTCACTGGTTTGACATGAAGTTAGAAAATGGCAAGATAGAAATTTAAACCAGCTTTTTCTACAGATTCCTATTTGGGAATGTTAAATCTGATTTCTCATTTTTACATAGTTCTACAAAGACATCTTTTTTATTTCGTAGGCCTGGGTGGGGCTGTGGCTGGAGCGCCCTAGCTTACTGACGGTGCAGGGATGTATATGAATCTGCCAGAATCTTTAGTTTGTACATCCCTGCAAGACACGTCTAAAGAACAAAAAAATGATGACTTCAACAGATGTGGTATTTACATGAGGTGGAATATTATTCGGCCATAAAAAGGATGGAATTTTGTTACACTACAATATGGAGGAACCTTTTGCTAAATGGTAGAGCCAGACACAGAAGGACAGCTATTCTAGGACTCCACATATATTAAGCACCTAGAATAGGCATATTCATAGAGACAGAAAGAATAGTGGTTACTGTGGGCTAAAGGGGGAAAGGGATGGTTTCAGTTTGGGAAGATGAAGTTCTAGAGATGATGATGGTGATGGTTGCACAATAATGTGAATCTGTTTAATGCCACTGAACTGCAAAGTATTTAAAATGGCCCTGGCTGGTGTGGCTCAGCAATTAGAGCATTGGTCTGCAGGCCAGGGGGTTGTGGGTTCGATTCCCTGTCAAGAGCACATACTTGGGTTGCGGGTTTGATTCCCTGGCCCAGTTGGAGCATGAGTGGGAGGTAACACATTGATGTGTCTCTCTGACATCGATGTCTCTCTCCCCCTCCCTCCCTCTCTTCCACTCTTCCTAAAAAGCAATGGAAAAGATATCCTCGGGTGAGGATTAGCAAAACAAAACAAACTTAAAACAGCAAATTTTATGTTATGTGCATTTTACCACAGTAAAAAAATTTTGTAAAGAAATAAGGCAGTGGTGTGGAATCCACATTTGAGAGTTTGTGAGGTGAATATAAATGACATTAGCTGAGAAAAACTCGCTGTGCATTCCTGGTGTGGCTGAAGGTGAGCGTGGTGGTCATCCTCCTTGACTGCGGCCAGAGTTCCTCCTGCTGGAGAACGTGGTGCACCACTTCAAGTACCCTTGTGTGCTGGACCTGAAGATGGGCACCCGGCAGCATGGTGACGATGCGTCGGCCGAGAAGGCGGCCCGGCAGATGAGGAAGTGCGAGCAGAGCACGTCAGCTACGCTGGGTGTCAGGGTCTGTGGCATGCAGGTGAGGGCCAGCATGTTTTAGGTTGCCCCTGTCCCTGCCTGCTACCCATGCCAAGTGTTCTCGTTGTCCACGTTGGTCCAGAATCTCCTCCGAGAGGGTGAGCCCCACAGGGTGCTGAGTGCATCCTTGTATGTTCCTTGAGCTCTCTTGTCCTTGTCTGGTGACTTAGGTCTGGGCTCCGGGTACAGAGCTGCTGTGAGAGCCTGTTGCCTCGACATTAGGGCAAGTAGGACTCTTACCGGTCAGTAAGGTATTTCTAGTTTGAGTCCAGCTGGGTTGCAGGGAAACTTGGAAAAGGACTTCACAGGTGAGGGCAGAGGGCCTGCATCACGGTCTCCTCTCTCCTGACTTTACTGCAGGAAGACTTGGGGTGAACCGGCCTGCCCACCTCAGTTACATAGGGTTAGCAGAAAAGCTCAGGCCAGTCAGAAGTACTTTCCAGACAGTGCTTGCCCAGGGCACTCTGAGGTCATCAGACAACCTGGCACTCACCCTTGTCTGTCTCCTGGGATTTCAGGTGTACCAGCTGGACACAGGGCATTACCTCTGCAGGAACAAGTACTATGGCCGTGGGCTCTCCATTGAAGGCTTCCGCAACGCCCTCTATCAGTACCTGCACAACGGCTTGGACCTGCGACGTGACCTTTTTGAGCCCATCCTGAGCAAACTGCAGGGCCTGAAAATGGTTTTGGAGCGGCAGGCCTCCTACCGCTTCTACTCCAGTTCCCTGCTTATCATCTATGATGGCAAGGAGTGCTGGGCTGAGTCCTCGCTGGACCGCCGCTCCGACGTGCGTCTCAAGCACCTGGACACAGGGCTGCCTGAGGTGGCATCACCCTGTGGCCCTAGCACCAGCCCCAGCAGCACCAGTCCTGAGGCGAGCTCCTCCTCTCCACCCAAGGTGGATGTCCGCATGATCGACTTTGCACACAGCACGTTCAAGGGCTTTCGGGATGACCCCACCGTGCATGACGGGCCGGACCGAGGCTATGTGTTTGGCCTGGAGAACCTCATCAGCATCATGGAACAGATGCGGGACGAGAACCAGTAGGCCCAGTTCTGGGCCCTCAGAACCCCTTCCTCTCCACCCGCAGGCAGGGACCATTGATCTGAACTCGCCGTGAGGACACAGACTTGCTTTTAAAGGGTTATATTTCTCTTGGGTATAAACTAAAAGAAATGTTTTTAGCTGTAGCCTGGACTCCATATATATAAAGAGAAGGGGAGCAGAACACACGTCCTCTCAGCCAGGCTCCTTAGCTCTGCAGCTGTGACTATGTCCAGGCTGACTTAGAAGAGGTGCCCCCGGTGGGCTTGGCAGCAGGGACAGGGTGCCCTTGGACATTGTTTCTCTTGCCTAGATTTTTTGGGTTCTGTGGCTGCAGGGCCCTGCTGATTGTGGGGTGAAGCTCTGGGCTCGTGCAGGGCCCCTTCATGTCCACTCATCCCTTGTTCCTCAGAAGTAGAGGGATTGGGTGCCCATTTCTAGGGGGACACATTCTAGTGTTAGGGGTGTCAGCTGCTCCTTGACTGATGTCTGCAGGGCACACAAGGCCAGTGCACACAACTGGACCCATCCTTCTCAGTTTTGTTCTTGGCATGAGGCTAGATTCATGAAGCTGGGCTGAAGTCAGCTTATGGCAGAGTACAGCAGGCCCTGGGATTCCCAGGAACTCTGTGGCACTTGAACCTGCTCCTCTTCCTGCCTACACACCCCAGCCAGCCCTTCCCACTAAGATCCCATGCCTAAGGAGTCCACCCCCTCTTGCCCCAGTGAGGGGGCCCTGCTGTATTTGCTGAGGAGAGTCATTGTCCCAGCAGGCCTCAGGGACTCTGGTGACTCTGGCCAAGACAGTATTTGCAGTTCCTGTGCTGTGGGTGGGAGTCCTCTTCCTCTGGTTTGAGCAGCTGTGCTGCCTCTGGATGGGCTGCTCCTCCCAGGGCGCAGGGGCTGTGGTCTGCTCAGGGTCTCACCTTTCCCCAGGCCAGGCCCAACGCAGCAGCCCACTGTGGGAAGCTCCAGGCTTATAGAGAGAACTTTACGCTTGTCTGCACATTAGGGATTGTCTGCGCCCTGGGTGCAGGTGCCCAGGTTCTGCTAATGAGAGTTTTGTCTTCTCAGTCCTGGAGTCCATCAGTCTATCTTTTTGTCCATATGCCAGCCCTGTCTCTCTGGATTTCCCCCTGGGGAGTAGCCTTGTTCATTAGTAAATACTGATTCCCTGCGTGCTTTCCTCAGCAAAATACTGTCCCGTGTCTGAGGCGAGCTTCTGCCCCTGTGCCCTTCTTCAGCAGGTGCTGCCTTTTTACAAAGAGCTGGTAGCAAAGTCCACTGTAGGAGGCATTACCTGTTGGCCCAGTACCCTCTCTGTGGCCCTGGAGTGTGGCCCTTCAGCACTCAGTACTGACAGTGGTACAGTGAAGGCCTGAGGAGTGACCCCTTCCTTCCCCATGGTTTTAGTTTGTGCTGCCAGCCTTTAATGGCACAGAGGCCTGCCACCTCTCAACACTGTGGCCAGGAGGTGACACTGCAGTCACCTAACCATTGCCAAGGTTAGTGCCCTCACCTCTGAGCCTAGGGCCACTGTCATTGTGACTTTGGGCATGTCCCTATTTGGGCATTAAAGGTAAGTTTGCTAGTTGGTGTCTGTGGGAGGCCTTGGTAACTGATAGGTAATTTCCTGGTCCTTAGATGCAGCCTCACACTTCTAAAAAAAATCCTCACCTGGGGATATTTTTCCATTTATTTTCAGATAGGGTAAGAGGGAGGGAGAGAGAGAAACATTGGTGTGAGAAAGACACATCGATTGGCTGCCTCCTGCACAACCCCAACCAAGGCCGGGGATTGAGCTGCAACCAAGGTACATGCCCTTGACTGGAATTGAACCTGCAGCTCTGGTCCACGGGTCGACGACTGAGCTAAACCAGCTGGGGCCAGCCGTGCACATCTTAAATGGGCTCCTTGATGGATCCCATCTCTCAGTCCTCTAACCCTGGTGCCAGTGGTGGGCAGGTTCCCATTCCTTGGGGCGAGGAGGGAGAGCTTGCCTGTTTCCGGTCAGTAACGACCGTCTTCTCTGGTGAACCATGGTGTGGCTTCAGCCATAGGGGCAGTAGCTCTTCGTTAGTGTCAACAGTCATTTCCTCTCAAGGCAGAGGCTGAGCCAGAGGCCACTTGGGATGCCTTTGATGGAACCTGTCCAGCCTGGAGGTGTGCTGTGCCGCCCGAGTTCGTATATTTTGGGAGGAGATGCCACCCCCTTCTGCTCTTCATAGCAGGAGGCTGTACCCACTTATATTTAGTGTTTTCCTGGCACTAAAAAGAGCAGAGGGCCTGGGATTTGCTGCTTCTCTCCCAGGGTGGGTCCCCTCTTTTCAGCACTTTTGACACTTGGAGACCCAGCCCTGTTATCTGGCGGGTGGTGGGCATGTGTGTGTATATGCTCTCTGCCACCACTTTCTCACTGCTCTGCCAGAGCCCTGTGCCTGCCAGGCCCTGCCTTCCCAGCCCCAACTTGGGACCAAAGTGCAACGTGGGATCAAGGTTGGGGCACTCAAGTGACCCCTGTCCATAGTGCTTCCTTGGGCCAAGTGACACTAGCCCCTGGGGGGTGGGATTGGGTGGTGCTTAAAAGAGAAAGGGGACCAGTATAGCAATTTGCCAGGGACCCCACCCCTCCCTCACATTGGGGCCTGTGCAGTGGGCGTGGGGATTCCCTAAGGGGGCCAATGGCCTAGGCTAGTTCAATAGCTGCTGCTCGCTCACCTGGTCACGTGCACGCCCCCTAGATGCAGACTGCTTTGAACTTCAATTCTGTTCAATTTGGTTTTCTCTGTGCCGATTTAAAAAATGGTTTAATGAGGAGAAAAGATTGGCGAACCATGGGAGAACCCTTTGCTTCTCCCAGAACTGTAAGGCTTCGCCTCTGGGAACCGCTCTCCTGCCCCACTTTCCCGTCGGCCGCCCAAGCCCGCGCCGGGACAGGACACGTGGCTCAGGCCACGTCCCAGCCCAGTTGCGTGGTTTGGGGACGTTGCGTGCAGGGGAGGGTGTACTCAGACCTTGGGGCGAGCCGTCCCTTTCTGTCCACCTAGCGCTGCCCGCCCCGCTTGTGTCTAAGGTCGTGTACGTCAAAATAAAGCCGCTAGAAATTCAGACGTGTCTGCGTCTTTGTGAAGATCCGCAGCTTCCAGGAGACCAGCGCCAGCCCCTCCGTGGCCCCGGCCTCGTCTCCGCCTCCCTTGCCGCTCGGGAAGGCCGGAAGCGGCGGGACGGCGGCGGGTTCCGCAGGCACCGGAGCGGAGGCAGCCTCGCCCTTGGCGCCAGTTCCGCCTTTAGATCCGCCAATAACCAGCTGACCCGCGGCCCGTCGCGGTCCCCATGGCAGCCGGGCGCGCTCGAGCTCTCATTGGCTACGTGCGCCCCGGCGCTTCGACGCCAGCGGCCGTGCCACGTACACGGCAGCCCATTGGCCTGCCCCGGCCCACGTCACGGCCAGAGCCGGCCGTCCTGAGTTTGGGGCCAGCGGCCCTCCGTCCCGCGTCGCATCCTGGCTGGTGACCGCCCGGATATCGGCGTCAGGGCGTCCTGGGTGGACGAGACAGATCCGGAGTTGGTCGGTCTGGCAGGTGAAGAACGGGGCTGGGGTGAGCGCAGGGGTCAGCCAGGCGGGCCACGAGACCTCGGAGCCCGGGAGTGGCTCCGGCCGCCCGCCCGCCCGCAGGCGCGATGAAGGCACTGATCTTGGTGGGCGGCTATGGGACCCGCCTGCGGCCTCTGACGCTCAGCATCCCGAAGCCACTGGTGGACTTCTGCAATAAGCCCATCTTGCTGCACCAGGTGGAGGCACTGGCCGCGGTAAGGCCTGGGGTCGTGGTAGGACGTGGCACGACATGGGTCGGCCAGCGAGTTGGGGTGGGGGATGCCCATGCCTCTGGCTAAGTCTGCCTGTGGCCGGCGCTGTTCTGTCCGACAGGCAGGTGTGGACCATGTGATTCTGGCCGTGAGCTATATGTCCCAGGTGCTGGAGAAGGAAATGAAGGCGCAGGAGCAGAGGGTGAGGTTTGAGTCGACTCTTGCCCCTTCCGTCGGTCCACGTTCAGCCTCCCTTTCTGGTGGGATAAACCTGACCCGGACTTCTCCCTTCCAGCTAGGAATCAGAATCTCCATGTCCCATGAAGAGGAGCCTTTGGGAACAGGTCAGCAGATAGGAATGCCCCTTGGGGAGGGTTTAGGGCTAGGAAAGGGGTAAGATCCAGCCTGAATGGGCCCTGCTGAGCCTGGCTCAGATCCCTCCATCCCCAGGAAAATGGTGACCTATTCCCCTTCCCCAGCTGGGCCCCTGGCTCTGGCCCGTGACCTGCTCTGTGAGACTGCAGACCCTTTCTTCGTCCTCAACAGTGACGTGATCTGCGATTTCCCTTTCCAAGCCATGGTGCAGTTCCACCGGCACCATGGCCAGGAGGGCTCCATTTTGGTAAGGACCAGGTCTTTCTTCGGCACTCCCACCTGCCCCGTCCAGCCTCCTCATTCCCCCTCCGGCCTTGGCCTGCCTAGCCCTTCCATTGTGGGTGTGGCGCTGTGCAGTCAAGCATTTGGGGTACAGCCCCTGAGATTTAGGACAGTATGAAAATCAAGGTTCAGGAACACTGGACTAGGCCTGAGGTCCCCCTGCATTCAGGTGACTAAAGTGGAGGAACCCTCTAAGTACGGTGTGGTGGTGTGTGAGGCTGACACAGGCCGCATTCATCGTTTCGTGGAGAAGCCGCAGGTGTTTGTGTCAAACAAGATCAACGCAGGCATGTACATCCTGAGCCCTGCTGTGCTGCGGCGCATTCAGGTGTGTAGAAGCTGCTCTTGGGTGGGCTGGGGGAGGGGAGGCCACCACAGTGACCCTGCTCATGAGCCCCCACTCCCACAGCTGCAGCCTACGTCCATTGAGAAGGAAGTCTTCCCTGTCATGGCCAAGGAGGGGCAGCTGTACGCCATGGAGCTGCAGGGTGAGGCAGGAAGGCCACAGGGTGGGGGTGGCCTGTGGTGAGGCTGAGCCCCCTGATGCATCCCCTCCCTACAGGCTTTTGGATGGACATTGGGCAGCCCAAGGATTTCCTCACCGGCATGTGCCTCTTCTTACAGTCACTGCGGCAGAAGCAGCCTGACCAGCTGTGCTCAGGCCCTGGCATCGTGGGCAACGTGCTGGTGGTGAGACCCTTGTCCAGCCCATCATTAACCCCCTCAGTGTTGGGGGACAAATGGCCCACTTATGTTTCCCCCGCTGTCCTCAGGATCCAAGTGCCCGCATTGGCCAGAACTGCAGCATTGGCCCCAACGTGAGCCTGGGTCCTGGTGTGGTGGTGGAGGACGGTGTGTGCATCCGACGGTGCACGGTGCTACGAGATGCCCACATCCGCTCCCACTCCTGGCTCGAGTCCTGCATTGTGGGCTGGCGCTGCCGCGTGGGCCAGTGGGTGAGCATCTGGGCCGGGCCAAGTAGGGAGGGGGCAGGGAATGTACCTGCCTCACTGACAAGGCCTGCCTTTCCTTCCCCCCAAGGTTCGAATGGAGAACGTGACAGTGCTGGGTGAGGATGTCATCGTTAACGACGAGCTCTACCTCAATGGGGCCAGCGTACTGCCCCACAAATCCATTGGCGAGTCTGTGCCAGAACCTCGAATCATCATGTGAGGGGCTGTTGTGGGGCTGGCTGAGCCCCCATTACTGGCAAGGGGAGAAGCGGCTGGATATGTCAGAAGGCCCTGCACTCGCTGTCTGTCTGGGGAAGCTTGGACAAGGCTGAAGCTGCTGGACACCTGCCTTCTCCTGTGGACATAATCTGGCAGGATCACACCCCGTAAAGCCCACTCTCTCAAGAAGGGTGGGGCCAGGGCTGTATGGAATAATAATTTAATGCTCACTGTGGCCCTGACTGAAAGTCAAGCTCAGGCACAATTAGGGCATGGCTGGGCTCCCACCAATGAGGTTACACACAAGCGAGGAGGCTGGACGTGGTGGTGCGGGGTGTGGGGCTGGCAAGGGGAGCTCATAAATAGGGCCCAGCCTGGGTCTGGATTCAAAGGCAGAGGCTCCTGCTGTGTGGAGTAGGCAGACCTAGGCGGCTGAGGAAGTGGCGCTCGCATTGGCTGCCTTGTCCCAGTCCTCTACCGACACAATGGTGGCTTTGCAGAAGAAGCAATCCTTGTTGTTCATCAGGTGCTGGTTGATGCAGGCTCTACAACACGAGGGGACGAGGGTGGCCTGTGTATCCCTGCTGCTCCCCCCACCCTGCTCTGCCCCACTTCCTGCACCCATGGAGCCCACTTACTTGCAGGACTTGTGGCCACAGGGCTGGAACACAGCAGAGATGGGGTGAGCGTAGCAGATGGGGCAGAGATCCTCCTCACTGGTGGGCTGCAACAAACAGTGCAAGGCAGGTTGGAGTTAGTTGCCCAGACAAGCGGACACTACACTATGTGTAGGCATTGTGCACAGTCTGCATTGGGTGATGGGTATGGGCCTGTGTGTGGTGGCCCCACTCACCAGGGAGGCAGCTGCTGCCTGGGCAGATGCAGAGGTCAGGTGTGCCAGCATCTGTTCCACCTGGGCCAGCTCCTCGGCACTGATGTAATCTGTGTCTGGGGTGGTAAGAGGTGTCAGGCCAAATGTGTCCCTAGAACCCAGTGCCTCTTGAGTACCCCCAGCCTGGAGACTTGCTCTTTTTGAGACTCCTGACCTGGCCCAGCCCTAAATCCCTCTTTCCTGACCACCCTGGCCAACCAACTCACAGCTCTGTAGGGAAAAGCGCTTCCGGTCAGGGGCAGGCAGGGCAGTGCCAGGGGCCGGGGGCTCTGGATGACCCAGAAGATAGCGTATAGAGCGGAGCTGGAAGCAGGGATCGGCCAAGAGCACTGATGTGGCTTTCTCTGTCCTGGTGGGAGAGGGTGCGAGATTAGCCAGGAAGCTAAGGCCTGTCTGAGAGCAGTATCTATGGGAGAGGTGGGGGTGGGGTGACAATCCAGCCCACCCCATCCCTGCTCACCCTCCCCCAAAAGTCCTAGATCCCAGTAAGGACCCACAGAGTCCAGATACCAGTTTAAGGGGGCTCAGGGTTGCCACCAGAAGACAGTGCAGGTCCACCTGCCCCCTAACATACACTAATACTTCAAAGGAAACAGCATTAGCAGCTTACAGGCGGTCTGCTCAGGCTTCCCTGCTATTGTTTCAGGGAGGTGGGCGCCCCAGGAACCTGCCGACCAAGCGCAGGCTGGGGCATTGGGGCCAGACTGGCGGCCACGCGGGGAGCCCTTGATCGCTGGGGTTGCGGTTGCCCCGCCCCCTCCGAAGGAGCCAATGGGAGCCCGCGGCTCCGCCCCTGAGTAATCGCCACCCCGAGAGTATTTAGAAGCTGAGTGTCCAGGCAAACACTTGGAGAGCTGGGGAACCCGAGAAGGGAGCGCTGAGTGGAGCGGGCGCGGCTGGCCGTGCGGGGTGGAGCTCGCATCCGGCCACCCCGGCCACCGGCCACCGGCCACCGGCCACCCACCACCACACACGTTGAGCCAGAGCAGAAGGGGTGAGTCCTGGAGCTGCGCCCCACGCAGAGCCCTGGGGTCCCAACCCAGGTTGTCCCCGCCATGACTTGGCTGGTGCTGCTGGGCGCACTGCTGTGCACGCTGCGTGTCGGATCGGACGACTCCGAGGTCTTCCCCCTGGCACCCCATAACTGCCCCAACAAATGTGTTTGCGCCGCCGACCTGCTGAGCTGCTCGGGCCTCGAGTTGCCGGACGTGCCGGCTGCGTTACCTGCGGCTACTGCTGAACTCGACCTGAGCCACAACGTGCTCCAGCGCCTGCGTCCCGGCTGGCTAACGCCCCTCTCCCAGCTGCGGGTCCTGCGTCTAGGTCACAACAAGCTGGAGGCACTGGGGCGCGGAGTCTTCACCAACGCCAGCGGCCTGTGTCTGCTCGATTTGTCATCGAACGCGCTGCGCGCGCTTGGCCGCCACGACCTGGCCGGGCTGGGGGCGCTCGAGATACTGCTGCTGTTCAACAACCGCCTCGCCCACCTGGACCGGCTCGCCTTCCAGGGCCTGGGCGCGCTCCGCCAGCTCTACCTGGGCTGCAACGAGCTCGCGTCCTTCTCTTTCGACCACCTGCACGGTCTGGGCGCAACCCCCCTCCTTACTCTGGATCTGTCCTCCAACCGCCTGGGTCACATCCCCGTACCTGACCTGGCTGCACTGCCGGCCTTTCTCAAGAACGGCCTTTACTTGCACAACAACCCGTTGCCTTGCGACTGCCGCCTCTACCACCTGCTGCAGCACTGGCACCAGAGGGGACTAAACGCTGTGAGCGATTTTGCGCGGGAGTACATGTGCCAGGCTTTCAAGGTACCCACCTCCCGCGTGCGCATCTTTGAGCACAGCCGCCTGTTCGAGAACTGCTCGGCTGCCCTGGCTCAGGGCCTGGAGCAGCGGCCTGAAGAGCAGCTGCAGGTGCAGGTGGGTCAGTCCCTGAGGCTACACTGCAACACCAGTGCCCCCGCCCTGCGCACTGTCTGGGTGTCCCCGCAGCAGGAGCTGCTGGTGGCGCCAGGATCCCGCAACGGCAGCATTTTAGTGCTGCCTGATGGCAGCTTGGCCATTGGTGAGGTGAAGCCATGGCATCGGGGCATCTTTGTGTGCCTGGCCACTGGGCCCCGCCTGCATCACAACCAAACGCACGAGTACAACGTGAGCGTGCACTTCCCGCACCCCGAGCCCGAGGCTTTCAACACCGGCTACACCACACTGCTGGGCTGCGCTGTGGGCCTGGTGCTGGTGCTGCTCTACCTGTTCGCGCCACCTTGCCCTGGCTGTCGCCGCTGCCACCACTGCACCTGCTGCTGCCGGCACCGAGCGGCCAGCCCACTCCAGGAGCTGAGTGCTCAGTCCTCGGTGCTCAGCACCACGCCGCCTGACGCCCCCAGCCGCAAGGCCAGTGTCCACAAGCATGTGGTCTTTTTGGAGCCGGGCAGAAGGGGCCTCAATGGTCGTGTGCAGCTGGCAGTGGCTGAGGACTTTGACCTCTACAACCCCATGGGCCTGCGGTTCAAGGCTGGCTCCGAGTCTACTAGCTCCACAGCCTCTGAGGGGCTGATGGTGACGACCTAAGCTGCCCAGGGCTCCCACCCAGGCCACTGCCTGCCTGCTGCTTGCCCCGCTCCCCGCTGCACAGAGTACTACCAGACGACGGTGGGAAGCACTGGCGAGGTCCTCCACCTACGCCGCAGTGGCCCCACTCAATGGTGGAGGGATTGGGGCCCCCAGTGTTCTCCTGCCTCGCCTCAGCACAGGGCCTGCCTGTACCCCCTTTCCTGGGGAAATGAGGATTGGAACTGAGGTCAATCTGGACGACCCCAGAGCCCCAGGTCGCCCTCAGGGGCCAAGGCAGCTATCCTGGAGTGGTGGTGAAGAACTGAGACAAACCACTTCCCCTCCCCAAGGGGATGGCAAGGGAGTGGGCTCCAGGGCAAAGGGGAGGGCTCCAGAGGAAGACCTGGCCTCCACCCCCAGGGCAGTGGAAGGAACAAGCCCTCCTCTGCTGAAATCGGACTCTATGCACCAACATCCAACCAACTTCCGCTTCACAAACCAACAGGCTGCTGGGCAGGCATGAGGCAGGCAGGCTCCTCAAGCGACCCCTGGGGAGCCTGGCCTAGGCCACACCCAGGGTGGCCCTGCTCCCCTCTGGCCAGGGCCTCTCCCACGGGCTCACAGGACAGTAGGAAAGGGCACGGCAGCCCTTCACCCCCAGCTTTTCAGAGTAAAAAGCCTGCTAAGTGATGGCCAAGATGGGAGGGCAGAGCTGGGACTGTCCCTAGAGGGTAGAAACCTCTTAAGGGCTGGCACTGGTCTCAGCCTAATGGCACAGGCAGCGCCCTGGCTTCATGCAGATCTTACCTTCCCCACGGCAGGGAGGCAGGGAAGGGGAGCCAGGAATCCCACCTGTGTGGGGGCTGAGATGGGGCCCCCTGAGTGGCCTGAATCTGATTGTCACAGAGATTCTTAATAAAGGCAGGACATGCTCGTTGCTGGCGCCTTCGCAGACGCAGGCAGCAGTGTGGTGTCAGTCTGATCTCAGCGGTGCTGTCCTGGACATCACAGGACGCCACCCCACCCCACCCCAGGCGTGGTTCCCCTGGCCCTGCCTGAGGCTGACCAGGGGCCGAGGCACCCTGTTCTGCTGGAGCCCCTGATTCTTCTACGCAGCTGCTGCCACCGCCACCGCCACCGCCACCTCCTGAGGCATTTCAGGCCTTGTGCCCTTCCTCGGCCTCACAACCGGACCCTGAGTCCATTTTAGAGAGGAGAAAGCAGAGCTCCAGGGAGGCCCTGCTTAGCCCCGGCCCCTTCAGACATGCCCAGCTCCCAGGGGCAGTCAACACTCACCCTGAGGCAGGGCCATGTACCAGGAGCCGCACCAGGATGCCTGTCACTGCCACCAGAATAGGGTAGTGGTCCACGCTCTCCAGGCCTAAGGGAGGGCAAGAGGCGGATGAGCTGCCCACACCCTCCCACTGCAGGGGCTCCTGGCCACCCCGGCTGGTGCCACCCTCGCCTTCCCCAGAGCGGTGCACTAGGGTGGGCCGCCAAGCCTGGCTGTCCTGGGACGGAACGGAGAAGCAGGCATCACTGCTCCTGGCACAGGCCCAGGCCTAGTGTGTGGAGTGCGGGACAGCTAGGTCCTCACCAGGCAGCCACAGGGTGACCACACGGTCAAACAGGTTCCTCTCAGCCGTCACCCGGTTCAGCACCTGGTTCAGCAGCTGTGAGGGCAGCAGTCTGTTGGTGGCTGGGTCGGCTCACCACTGGGGTGTCCCCGGGGTCCCGCCCACTCTCCTTGCCCTGATGGACACACCTGTGCAAGACGCCGCAGCAGCATCTCAGAGGTAGGCTGAGTCCAGTCAAGGAATATCTCGGGCACCAGTGTGATGGTCATCTCCAAGACACGCAGCAGGCTGACCGAGAGGTCAAAGCAGGTGGCACATACCTTGAGCTGCCGGGTGTCCACAAAGTTCCTCTCCAGGCGCTCAACAGCCTGCTGGATCTGAGCCACCAGCAGGTGGGCAGGCAGTAGTCAGCAGCCTGGCCCCACCACCGATCATGCCTCAACCTCTGCAACACCCTGACCCAGGTCCCGCCGCGCCCCACCTCCTGGATCATGCCGATGAACTCCGAGAAGGCCCAGTTGAGCTGGTTGAGGACACTGTTGAGGAAGCTGGGTGCCACGTCCGGATCCTGGCGCAGCAGGTCTGCCATGTGCTGCTGCAGCAGGAGGGAGGGACAGGGCTCTGCAGGGGCATCAGGGATCTGGTCAGGGCCCAGCCCGTCCACCTCCATCCTCACTCGCTGGGCCGTTGGTGTAAGGACTGAAAGATGGCTCTGGGAACGCTCAGGTCACGCAGGCAGAGGGACAGGGCTAAATCTGCCTCCTCCCTCTGCTGAGCAAGCCACAGGCTCCACAGCACCCTCCCTGGGCCTGGAGCAGCCCCCTGCCCCAGCCTGGGCCCCAAGTTCTGTCACAGCCATTCAGGGAAACCCAGACCCCTCCTCACTCGCATCAAGGCCAGTTTCTCCAAGAGCCTCCCCTGAGCCCTGCCGTCCTCTCCTGTCCTCTGCCGCCCTTGGCATGGCCTTGGCACATGGCCGAGGTGGTGGGTGCCAAGTCTAGGCTGACAGGCAGCAGTAACTGGAGCCCTTGCTGCAGCGCGGGCAGACCTCCGCCTCCCCCATGCAAATCAATAGTCCCCGCAGCCGCAGGACGCACACCGGCCCGCCGCTCTCGGCCCCGCCGCTCTCCTCTCCACGGCAGCTCAGTTCCACCCCGAGGCAGGACCAAGGCGACCGACAAGGACTTTGCTATGTGACTTTGCACAAGGCACTCAGCCTCTGGGGACACCCTTCAGACCAAAACACTGCTCACAGAGGCAGAATCACACCAGGTGGGCCAAGGAGAGCCACCGAGTGGGGTGAGCACAGTGTGCAGCAGGCAGACTGTAAGCTGGACCGCCCAAGGCCCGGGGCTGGACTGGCAAGGTCCTCAGGTCAGGGCTTTGCTAGGCCACGGCCCCAGGAGAGAGCACAGCCTCTGCTTCCAGCCAAATGTCCCTTCCTCCAGGGAGCCCCGTGCACACCCTCTGGAGCCGTCTAACCCCCAGTGTGTAACTCCTGGACGCAGGTATCCAAGCGGATGGCAAAGAAGGGGCAGGACATGGTGCTGGGGCAAGGATGGAGGTGAGGGAGCGGGGTCCTCGCCCCGCATAAGCTGTCAGCAGCCTGGGAAAACACTGCCCCTTCCCACTGTGACCCATGCAGACCTTCAGGCCCAAAGGGTACAAGTGGGTCTGGGGAGCAAGGCCGAGTGGTCCCAGAGTATCCATGGGCTAGGAGGACGAAGGGGAATAGACGCCCCAGAGGACAGACAGGGAGTTTGGTCCCAACACAAGTCCCAGAGAGGGGTTGGAAGAAGTCAAAAGTCTGAGAACCCAAGAGCAGTGGGCAAAAGCCACTGCCTGCCCGACCTGGATACTCACTCTGGAGGCTGGGCAAATTGGCATCCTCGGGTTTGATTTTCAGCAGGTGTGGCAGCCGTGTATAGCGGTAGCCGAACCCACAGCCCTGGGGGTAGGGTCAGTGGAGGTCAGTGGGGCAGGGCAACCCTCATTCCAGCCAGCCATAGCCACCTCCCCTCTCGGCGGGCTTACCTTCCAGAGCCGCACCAGGATCCAGTTGGTCTGGGCCCAGGGCCGCTGTTCGTAGGGAGCCAGGAGGCTCCTCACCATGGCAACGCGCCTGCAAGGGCAAGGGTGGCAGACAGGTGAGGCTGAGCATGCTGTGGAGGGCGGGGTGCATGCTCCACCCTCAGCCCCACTCACTGCTCCTCGGGGATCCGCTCCACAGCCCGCAGGGAGTGCGGGTAGCAGACATAGCTGGCCAGGGCCTGCATCAGCGAGTCTCGGATGTCTGCGGAGACAGGCCAGGCCTCAGCAGGTGCCTGGCGCGAGCCCTGGCTCCACGCCTCATGCCCATCTGGCCAGCCAGAGATGCGCTCCCATCCCCACCCCCAGAGCCCTCTGTAGAGCACCTCACCAGTGCCCACGATACGTGTGTCTGCAAAGTGTTTGGCAAGGATGGCAGCCAGGCGGGTCAGGGTCTCTTCATAGCCTGCAGGTGGGGAGTAGAACTGTTGGCTGGGAGAAAGGGCTGAAGAGGCAGCACACCCCTTGGCAGGGGTGGGCTTGGGCAGTGGGCTCCAGAGCTGGCTCCCAGGGTCAGTCTGGGCCCAAGCTGGCACCTGGGATCTCAGGCGCAGCATTCGCTGACAGCTGGTGAAAGGCTAAGGCACGGGCTTGTTGTGGGGGGATCCTGGTAAGAGTTCTGACCCGGCCCAAACCCATCTAAGCACACATACTCGATGGCTCAGCAGTCAGAGCCCCCTGGGCACCCACAATTCTACCTCTGAGGACAAAGCGTGCACCTAGGTCCGAGGTGGGGCAGGGGCAGGCCCGGAGCCTGGGAGCCCACCGCCTGGCCAGGACATAAACCACCCAGCCCAGCCTGGAACCAGGGGTCCGCATAAGGCTGGGGCTCCTGCACAGCCGCCACACCCTATGGCAGTGCCAGGGCGGCAGGCAGGAAGTGAAAGCGGGGAGCTGTTGTGTCTGCCCCCCCAGCAGCGGGGAGGGCCGCGGGGGCTGACGGCCCAGAACAGGACTCCTAGGACTCTCACCAGAGGCCCTTTTCTGCCCCCTCCCAGCCTGAATGGCCCCTCACCTGGGAGCTCCTCCATGCTGTGCACAGGGCCGAAGTAATTCTTGAGGGCGCTGTAGCTGTTGATGGCCACGCTCAGGTAGAACTCGGGCATGAAGGCGAACAGAGGACCCGTGCGGTCGCCGTGCTCGATGGTCCGCAGACAGACGCGCAGCAGCCAGTATATGTCCAGCATCTTCTCCTGCGGAGGCACACAGGGCTGCAGGGCTGTTCGTGGCAAGGGTCTGGGGCATGGCCCAGGCTGGCAACCAGGAAAGGCCTCTCCAGACTGTGACATGAGAACCGAGCACTGATCCCAGAAAGCTGAGCAGTGGCTCAGGCAAGGACGAGGGCGCCCCCAGCCTGGAAAACTCTGGTTTGCTTTTTTGTTAAAAGGCAAAAGATTTATGTGATCTGAAGAGAAACCAGAGTATGGTTTGCTTTTTTTTTAAAGGGACAGAAGGTTTTACGTGAGAGGGCCGTGTGACCAGAGGTCTCTGGAGCACTGCCCAGAGCAGAAGGGGTTGCAGGGGCAAGTGGGCACAGGGCAGTGAGGAAGCTACAGCCTCATCCAGGCCCGAGAGCAGTCAAAGGAACTGGATGGGCAGGAATGGGGTGCACCAATGGGCTGTGGGTTGAGGGGATGGGCACGCCAAGAATGAGGTACACATTTCTGGGGGTGATAGAGCCTCCACGGAGGCCACAAGAGCTGGAGAAGTAGGGTGCAGGGCAAGGGACGCGGCTCAGTACCTGTGGAGCACAGGTGCCTGGCAGCCCGGAGGTGGCGCCGAGGTGGGAATGTGGTCTAGAGCTCAAAGGGGAAGGTGTGGGAAGTCAGGAGGCAGCGGGACTGCTGATGGGACAGAGGCATCAGAAAGTGGACAAAACCTGCAAGGGCCCCATTCCCCACAGTATAGTTCCCAGCCAGTGTGTCAGGATCCCACAGACGGGACCAGAATGAGGACCCGGGTCCCAGCCCAGACCCAGAGCACCCACATCTCTTGGGGAAGAGCCGGAGCACCCGGACTATACAGATCTCTGATGTGCCTTCAGCCTGAGAAGCCAGGAGATGTAAGCAGACGTCAGAGGGTGGGCCTGTGCCCGGGTGGCAGTGAGCCAGAGGCCCAAGGTGATGACAACGGCACCGATGCGAGGTGCATCTGCAAAGGGGTGGAAGCTCTAGAGAGACCTTGCAAGACTCTCTCAGAGCAATGGGGAGCCTGTGCCGGGCCAAGAGTAAGGAAGGCGAGGCACTGAGACAGCAGGAGGGCGGAGTGGGCGCCACAAAGGGTGCAGAGTAGGGAGGGCGTCACGGGCGTTTCCCTTCCCTGACGGGAGAAGGTGAGGGCAAAGGAGCAGGAGGGTGAGCTCTGAAGCTGCAGGAGCAGAAAGCCACTTCGGCATGACAAGGGCTATGACAAGCCACAGTGAGCATCATACTCAACGGTCACAGACTGAGAGCTTTTCCTGGAAGAGCAAGAAAAACGCAAGGAGCCTGTTTTCACCGCCTCCATTCACCGCAGCACGGAAGCTCTAGCCTGCGCGATCTGCCAAGAACAAGAAGTCAAAGGTACCCAACCTGGGAAGGAGGGAATAAAATGATCTCTGCTTGCAGATGACATGGTCTTACCTGTAGAAAACCCTAAAGATCCCCCCCCACACATACACACGCACACACGCACACACGCAAGTCCTGTTAGAATTAGTAAATTAATTCAGGAAATTTGCAGGACACAAAATCAACACAAAAAGTCAGTTGTGTTTCTGTATACTAGCAATAAATGATCCAAAAAGGAAATCAAGAAAATAATTCCAGCCCTGGCCAGCTTGGCTCAGCGGTTAGAACGTCAGCCCGCAGACCAGACAGACCCGGGTTCGGTTCCCACTAAGGGCACGTACCTTGGTTGCAGTTTGTCCTCAGCCCCAGTTGGGGTCATGTGGGTGGCAGCCACTTGGTGTTTCTCTCTCACATCAATGTTTCTCTCTCTCTCTTCCTCCCTCTTTCCTTCCTGCTCTGTCTGAAGGTAAATGCAAAAATTGTCCTCAGGTGAGGATTAAAAAATAATAATAATAATTCCACTTATATTAGCATTTAAAAAATGAAGTAGATGTAAATTTAACCAAGGGGGGGCAAAAGACTTATACACTGAGAATTACAAAGTGTTGCTGGAAAAGAAATTTTTAAAAAATCCTCACCTGAAGATATTTTTCCATTTATCTTCAGATAGAGTGGGAGGGAGGGAGGGAGAAGATATTTTTCCATTTATCTTCAGATAGAGTGGGAGGGAGGGAGGGAGAGAGAGAGAGAGAGAAACATCAATGTGAGAAAGACACATCAATTGGTTGCCTCTGGCAACTGAGGTACATGCCCTTGACCAGAATCGAACCTGACTTTTTGGTCTGAGGGCCGATGCTCCAACTGCTGAGCCAAACCAGTCAAGGTAGCTGGAAAAAAAATTGTTTTTCTTTTTTGGTATGTGCCCCTAGTGGGACCCGAACCCGGGACTCTCTGGTCTGTAGGCCGATGCTCCAACCGCTGAGCCAAACAGGCCAGGGCACTGAAACAAAATTTTAAGGCACAAATAAGTGGCAGGATATCCCATGTTCATGGACTAGGAGATAATATTATTAAGATACCCATACTACCCCCCAAAATCTACAAATTTAATGCAATTCCTATCAATATCCTAATGTCTTTTTTTTTTTGCAGAAACAGAAAAATCTACTCTAAAATTAATATGGAATCTCAAGGGACACCAAATAGCCAAAATGATCTTTTTTTTTTAATCCTCTCCCGAGGACATTTTTCTTTTTTTTTTCTTTTTTTCAGACAGAGTGGGAGGGGGAGAGAGAGAAACATAGACGTGAAAGAGACACATTGAGTGGTTGCCACCCTCACGACCCAACCAGGGCCAGGGACGAACTGCAATCGAGGTACGTGCCCTTAGCGGGAACCAAACCCGGGTCTCTCTGGACCGCAGGCCGATGCTCTAACCGCTGAGCCAAACCGGCCAGGGCCAAAATGATCTTGAAATAGAACAAAGCTGGAGATCTCACACTTCCTGATTCAATTATAGCAAAGCTACAACAATCAAAACATAAAGACAGACCAGACATATAGATCAATGGGACAGAATAGAAAGCCCAGAAAAAACCTGTGTGTATATATACATATTTTCCCCCCAAACAATTTTTGAGAAGTGTGCCAAGGCCACTCAATGGGGGAAAGGGCAGTTGTTTCAATAAATGCTGGGACACTGGATATTCACATGCAAAAGAGTGAAGTTGGATCATTACCTCACATCATACACAAAAACTAACTCAAAATGGATCAAAGACTTAAACTTTAGAGTAAAAAATATAAAACTCTTAGAAAAAACCACAGGGAAACCTTCACGGCCTGTATTTCACAATGACTTCTTGCCTATGACAACAAAAGCACAGGCAAGAAAAAACACATACGAGTTGAACTAATTAAAATGAAAAACCACGCATCAAGACACATCAAGGACACATCAAGAGTGAAAAGGTAGCCCCGCAGAATGGGAGAAAATATTTGTGAATCATAATCTGATAAAAGGTCAATATCAAGAATGTATAAAGAACTCCTACAAATCAACAATGCAAACGACCTAATTTAAAGATGGGCAGATGGACCTGCATAGAGATTTCTCCAAAGGAGACACACAGATGGCCAGTAAGCACATGAAAAGATGCTCTACATCACTAATCATTACAGAAATACAAATCAAAACCACAGTGACACATCACTGCACAAAGATCAGAATGACCACTATAAAAAATAAAAATAAAAAAGAGTAACAAAGGTTGGCAAGGATGGAAAGACATTGGAATGCTTGTGCCCTGCTGGAGGAAACGTAAGACAACACAGCCGCCGTGGAAAACAGTACAGCAGTTCCTCAGAAATTCTAAAATAGAATTATCATACGATCCAGCAATCCTGCATCTGAGCATATACCCCAACGAACTGAAAACGGAACCTTGAAGAGATACTTGTACACCATGTCTGTAGCAGCATTACTGACGACAGCCAAAAGGTGGAAGCAACCCAAAAGTCCATCAATGGATGAACGGATAAACAAAGTGTGGTCTGTAGTATTTACACAATGGGCTATTATTCAGCCTTAAAAGGAAGGAAATACTGACACAGCTTCAACATGGGTGACTCGCCTTATGCTGAGGCGAGTAAGCCAGTGACAAAAAGACGAATACTGCGGATGAGTCCACTTAAATGAGGAATCAAGTCCATAGACAGAAAGTAGGGCGGTGGTGCCAGGGTCTGTGGGGAGGGGCGAGGAATCGGTGAGGGTAAGTTTCAGTCTGGAAAGACGCAGGTTCTGGAGAGTGGTCTACAACGTGAAGATACTTCCACTACTGAACTGGGCACTGAAAATAATTAAGAAGGTAAGTGATATGTTGTATTTCACAACTATAGAAAATAGTAAAGATGGAACATTTTATGTTATGTGTATTTTACCACAATTTCAAAAGAAGAAGGTATACAAATGGGAAGGCAGGCTCCCGAGAGGGTGTGGGAGAGGCCAGACTGCCTGGGAGGTAGACAGGCGGGAAATCTGGTGAAATCTGGCGGGGGGGGGGGGGGGGGGTGTCCCCGTGATCACCGTCATAGGGCTTGAAGGCAAGGTCTGCAGCAGAGAAGGGACAGCTGAAAGGTGGGGGAGGAGCCACCAGGGGAGCAAGTCAGTAGCGATGGCAAGGTAGAGATGGGGACACCGAGGGCCTTGATCCCCAGGTTATGGGGAGGGACCTGCCCCCAAAGGTGACGGAGCTGACGGGGCACCCGGGCATGTCGCAGGGCACTCACCAGTGGCGAGAGGTGCCAGGACCAGGACGGAGAGAAAACGGGGTCAAAGCCTGGGCAGAGGGAGCTTGCCCTGTGTCCGTGCCTCAAGGCTGACTGTTCGGGAGGGCACAGCCTAGTCTTTCTGATTCACCACTGAGTGTCCCCAGTGTCAGGATGGCACCTGGCACTCTAGGCTCTGGGCACGTTACTGAAGAGTGAGTGAGTGACTGGGCAGAGAACAAGCCGGTGGCCTGCTTCTAGGGCAGGAAGCGAGTCTGAGAGAAAGAGGTGCAGAGAGCGAGGGTGCGGCCAGAGCCCCAGGTACACCGCGAGGGAGGGGCCCGGGAACCTGAGAGGGCAGGGACAGATTCTTCAACCTGAGTGTCAGAGCTGGAGGGGGACCGGAGGTGGGGTGTCAAAAATGGCATCTACTCAAGTTCATGGGCCATGAGGGGTCCAGGGGATGTGGCATGGGGACAAAGGAGGAGGGTGGGGAGGGAGTACCCGTGTGCCAGAGGCCCAGGGAAGCAGGGGCATCGAGGGGCTGGCACAACCCTGCCCAACCTGTGCCTAGTCAGTGAGCCGGGGTCGGGCAGCAGTCACAGCAAAGCCACACCCGCTCACCTGGGAGTAGACGGTGGCGTGGACCCAGGCAAGACGGCGACTGAGGTGGTCCAGCTTTTCTGAGAAAACTTTCTGGCTCTTGGTCAACTCCTCAAGGATGTCCTTCCTCTGCCACCCAAGGATAAAGGACAATCAGGACATGGCCCCACATCCAGGCAGCCTCGCAGGGGCCCCACAGGGGCCTGGGGCAGGCAAAGGGCTGGGTAAACCCAGCTCCTCTCTTCAAAACCGTCTGCTGCCTCGGACCCGCAGCAAGCCTGAGCAGGCCTCTGACCGGGCGTGGTCATGCCCGGAAGGGAAATGCAGCTGGGGGTCTGTGCGCCCCTGGCTAGGACAGCCCGGGGCTCGACCTGCAGACAGCTGGGGGTAGGCGGCCTGCCAGGGCAGCCCAGCCTGGGTATATTCGGCCCTGCTCCTGGGAGGGGTTTGGGGAGTGGGGAGCCAGGACTCGCTTCCTGCTGACTCTGCAAGTGGTGCAGGAAGCACTCAGGGTTGAATCCATAATTGATGAGGAGAGTGGGTGTGCTGAGCACTTAGCCGGCCAGGGGTGGGGGCACCTTGGCACAGGCCATTGCTGGTTGATGGGACTCAGACCATGCCCAGCCCTAGTGCCAGCTCCCCTCACTGACCTGCTATGGTTAGGGCGGGGGTGGGGACAAGAAAAACTGCTGAGGTCACCCCCAGAGGCAGGGCCAGGCCAGGCTGATTTCCTCTGTGGACTGCCCTGGGATCCCAAGTGGGCAAGCTGCCCCTCTGCCCCACCTGCCTGACCAGGCCTTACCCGCTTTGGGCACCGGCGGAGCTTGTCTTCTGTGTTCCTCAGAGCCATGGCGTATTCGTTGACGTCGTCGGACACACCCACCATCTAGAGCGTTGGATGCCACCCGTCTATGGTGACCCTTGGCAGCTCACCCAGGTTCCTCCAGACCCAGCCTGGACCCTAGCCTTGGCAAGCTCCCAACCTTAGGCCCAGGACAGCCCCCCACCCCCAAATGACTAAGCAGCACTGGCAGGATCTTGCAGCAGCATGCACTCATGTGCAGGCACCCCCGGAGACCCCTGCATGTGTGGGCGCACATACACACGCACACACATGCACCCAACATGCAGAACCGCATGCCATGCACTTGGACCACTGGTGAGACCTTGCCCAGCTGCTGGTGGACACTGAGGTTGTACATCATGACGGCCCCGTCCAGGACCTCCAGCAGGGAGTTCTCGGTGAGGGGCTGCTCAGGCTCCTCGGGGGGCCGCCCCAGCAGCAGGCCCTCGTTCCAGTGGCTGCCCTCAACTGCGGAGAGGAAGCGCAAGGTCAGGGTGGGGCCACTCTGGTTGTCTCCTAAGCCTGCTAGCCAGGCTGGGCCTCGCAGCAGAAGGGAGCCCTCTCCCCTTTCTGGGCCCAAGGAAGGACTACAGGGAGAGCACGGGGAGGGGCAGGGCCAGGTCCTGCAGCGCCGGGTCCTACATCAGCGCATCGGTTTCCTACTCGGAACTACTTCTCACGCCCTGAGAGACTGTCAGGCCAGAGGAGGGAGGGAGGGGAGTGTATCCTGGCTTTGCCCATGATAGGAGGACCCTTCAATGCTATGCCTGTCCCTGCCTGACACTTACTGTCCTCCCGGGTCCTCTGCTCTGCACTCAGCGTGCGGACCTTCACTTTCTCCGAGGTGCTCAGAGGCCGCCGTGGGGTCATCAGGCTCACAGCTGCTGTGCTGAGGAAGCGGTTGGCTCGGCCCAGGGTTGGAGAGCTGAGCCAGCTGGGCCGGGGCAGGGGCAGCGCACCCCCAATGGCCAGGGCCTGCATGGGGCGCTGTGGTGGAGAGAGGAGGCCAGACACCACTCAGCTCCCCAGGACTCGGGCCCACTCTGAGCTCCCTTGGTTCATGGGGCCGAGGAAGGGAAAGGAAGGGAAGGGAAGGGAAGGCTCGTGTCTCCACGTACAGCAAGGGCACCTGCCCCTGAGAAGCTCCTTGCCTGCATGGAGGGGGGACGGCCCTGTCCTTATGAGAGAACGAGAGAGGGACAGTCCGACATGAAGCCCCCTGCCTGCCCCTACCGCGGCACCTGGGCGGCAGCTGGGGATGGCTCCTCATCCTCGTCCAGGTCGTCCATGGTGGCCGCCTGGAGCTCCAGCGGGTCGATTAGGATGTTGGCCTTGGAGGCAAGCTCATCTAGGAGGCCCGGCAGGAGGGGAGCGGTGAGGACAGGGAGAGCACCGCTGGCTGGGCAGCTCTGGCAGGGCCCCCTTCACCACCGTGCCTGCGCCTCACCCCTGTACTCTGCATCCCTGGGACCTCTGTCTCGTAGAGGCTTGGCAGCAGGAGGCACCCCCATCACACCTCTTGTCAGTCCCTCTGTCTTTGTCTCTGGGACCTGGCTTTCTGAGCTCCCCCCCCTTCTCTGACTGCCCCATCACTTCCTCCTCCTGCCCTGCAGGCAGAAGGCGATGCAGGGCTGCCGAAGCCTCGGCTCACCCCACTCCGCACACTCGGGGTCCCGGCCTCACCGCAGGCTCGCTGCCACCTGTATGCTGACAGCTGACTGTACCAGCTCTGCCTCCAGACCAGGCCTTGGTCCTGGCGATGTCCCCAGGCACCTCAAACACACTGAACCTGTCACCTCAGCCTCCTCCCGCAGCCCCTCTTCCTGATGGTGCCCCATCCCCACAGCCTCTGCAAGAAGCCTGGGGTCATCCTGGTCTCCTCCTCTTCACCCATGCCCTCCCCACATCTCCTGTTTCCTAGACAGCTGGCCACCCCGTCTCCTTCCTTGGCCCTCACACCCCATTCTCAGCACCACAGCAGCCAGATGGAGCATCTTACGACGCAGCCCGGACCTTACTCCCTGCCCGGCAGTGAGCCTACAACCTGCCCTGTAGCCGGCAAGGCGCCCGGCCTCTGTCTTCGAGTCCTTGGCCTCATGCCCACTGCTCCCTGCCCTGCCTTCCCTCTGTGGCCACCAGCTGCTGCCTGTCTCCGGCTACGCTGGGTCGTTTCTGGCGTCCTTGCCTTTGCCGGCGCGGTGCTCTCAGCCCCTGGCCGCCGTTGGGCTCAGGCAGCAATTGTACAAACAACCCTCCCGCCCCAGTGACCTTGCCAAGATCCCATGGTCCCCACTCTGTCAGCACACATGCCCCCACTTAATTACAGGGCTCCCAGATGTCCCCGGGGTGGGTGCTCAAGGAAAGGGATAGCTGGACCCAAGACAAGAGGCAGCCGGAGCAGGTCGATACTCGGGCGCCCTCTAGTGGACACAGGCTAGCTCAGCACTCGCACAGAGCTGGAGCAGACTGTCCTCCACCCAGCCCTGACCTGTCCCTGCCCACAGGCCCACATTCACCTTTGAGGGTCTTTCGAAGGTGTGAGAGGAGGCCTCCAAGGCGCTGCTGGTCGAAGTAGTCCACCTTGCCATTATAGAAGACCTGGGGTGGGACGTAGGCCTCTGCGAGAAGTCGGGAATTCAGGCCAGCAGTCAGAACTCAGCAGGAAGCCCCTCCCAGAGGTTGCCCCTCTATTCTGGCCTAGCACAGAGGGGATCCTTGGTGTTGGCCACCTACCCACCCAGGCAAACAGTGTGGTCTCTCCTGCCCCCTCCCATCTCAGGTCAGTGCCAGCAGCTGTCCAACCTGGGATGAAGGGACATTCTTAGATGTGGGTTGCTCAGGGGAAAATGAGAGCCCAGCCCAGCTCTGTGGGGTATCCCCCAAGGCAGGGCACATGAGGCTTCCCGTGACCCTTGAGGACTGTGTACCATACAAACACAGGCCCTCGCACCTCAGAACCCGGCCAAGGCATCCCCTACGAAGGACTGCACAGAGTGCTGGGCCGGCGGGGACTGAGAAAAGGAGCCTGTGAGGACAGTTAGCGTAAACGGGCTCAGCACTCCTGTCGTTGGGGTAGGACTCAACTGGGCAGGAGGCCTGGGACAGCTGCCCCCACCCCCATTCGCAGCTCAGCACCCCACACCAACACTAGGGCTTGTGCGTGCCTGGCTATGCCCAGCTTCTGACTAGAGGCCCTGGCCCCACCCACTCACCCTCACTGAAGGAGGTGCGGGGGTTGGAAGCCTTGTACTCATCCCAGTAGTAGCGCAGGGCAGAGATCAGCCGGTGCAAGAAGCAGACCATGTACTCAGGGGGGCAGAGCAGGGGTATGTTCTGTGGGCACAGGGAGTAAGACATGTAGCTGTTCCAGCCCAGAGCTAGCCCACTCCTCATCCAAGGCCTGCCCCAGGACCTTGGGCTGTCAGGGAGGGCAGAGCACCAGGGCTAGGCAGGAAGGAGGCAGAAGCCCAGGGTGCAGACCCTGCCCCACAGCCAGCGGCCACGGCGGGCTGGCCTGGCGGACACCTACCCCTCGGCCGTTGGCGTTCTCCTGCAGAAACTTTCGAAACTTGGTCAGGAAGATGTACCTGGAAGCTTCACCCTTCAGGGCAAGGAAATGTGAAGCTGTGGTGAGCTGAGGATGCTGGCCCCAGACGGGACTAGCTCAATGCGGTGCCTGAGCCTGGACCCTGCCATGGGAACCTGAGTCAGCCCCACCCTCCCGGCCAGGGACCCACACAGGTGACTGGGAGTCACTCACCCCATTGTCATCTTTATTGTTCAGCAGCAGCTTCAGGATCTGGACCTGCAGTTCTTCCACCACTGGGTGAGGGTGGGGAACAGAACACTGAGGCCTCACATTTCCAGGGATAGGAGGGGGTGCAGGCTTGGATGAGGTTCCACCAACAGGGACCCTAAGCCCAGCCAGAACAGGGCCACTACCGAGCGCCCCCAAGTCCACATGTGCACACACCCGCAGCCCACCCAGGCCAGGCAGGCCAGACCTTCAATGCGCTTCTTGAGTCTTTGGCAGCCCCGCTCATAGGCACGCCTCCGCAGCCGCTCCTCGGCGGTCTCATCCTGCACCTCCTTACTGTCTTTGCCCTAGACAGGCAGGGAGGAGGACAGCAGGGCTTGCCCACCGCCCGAGCTGACCAGGGCTGAGGGAGGGCCCCACTGCTGATGCTCTGGGCTCACATACCCTGGGCAGGCCCTCGCTCTGACCCTGCCACCCTCCCAGTCTGCCTACCTCCCTGCCGGAGCGGTGGGGCCACCAGGTGGTAGGGATGAGCTCCTGCAGGCCGGCCTCCTCCACACGCAGTGGGCTCTTGATGTGAAAGAAGACTGCGGACCGGAGCACGTCGAAGCTGGTGCTCGTCAAGGCAGAACTCTGCTCACCCAAGGGTGCCCCCCACCCCTCATGAGTCCTCCTGGGAAGCCCTGCCAAAACTTGCCCACCTCCGACGTGCCCACCCGTCGCCCACCCCTCAGGGGCATTGCTGCTCTGTGCCTGTCTCTGAGAGCACAGAAGGGTTGTGGCTGTCAAACCCAAGCACAGTCCCCAGCAAGTACGTAGTCAAGGCCTGTCACAGGGACAGATGACTGTGGGACAGGCTGGAGAGGACCTGGTGGCCTCTCTGGAGCCTGGCTTTGTTTCTGCCTCCTGCAGAGAGAAGACGGTTACTAGCACAGGCTTCCCAGCCAGCGGCCTAAGCTCCACTCTCCCTCCTATTCTATTCGCACGTCCTTGACATTCCGGGGAAGTGGGAAGAGCTGACTTCTGGATCTCAGGGAACCCGACCTAGAGCGTGGATAAAAGTGCAGTGCCTTGGCTGAAGGGGCAGACCCTGGTGGCACCCCCCACCTCCATGTAGCCCAAGAATCTGCAGCCATCTGGAGACCCCGGATTGGGCTGGCCAGCCAGCCTGGGCCTTTGCCCTGTCCTCCCTGCTTTGTAGAGAAGGTGCCTGGAGGGCTTGTCCTGCAACAAGGACCTACATACTGGGTGGCCCTGGTCCTCCTGTGCCTCCGAGGACCCTGGCCAGGGGCACACTGTCCTCCCTGGCCTCTGCTGACTGCAGAGGACATGCATCTGGCCTGGCAGGCAGCAAGGGAAGGATACAGGACGTTGCTAAGCAGAAACTTGCGGGACTTCTCATGCCTCAGGATGGCGATGGTGAGCCGCAGGTAGTGGGTCTGTGGGGAGGGAGTGCTCAGAGCGGGCAGCGAGGCCCAGGGGCTCAGGGCAGCGGCATGAGTGCCCACCTGCAGGCTTAGGTCGGGGACGATGGGTGAGAACCGGTACAGCCGCAGCAGGGACATCATCAACTGTTTGAGGCAGTCGTGAACCTCGTAGTCCTGCGGGAGAGATGCCAGGCTGCACACCTACCAGGCCGAGGGCAGGCTCCCAGCCAGCCATTTCCGAGACCCTCCATCCCAGTGGAGCCCAACATCCGGGCCTGAGGCCCGCGCTCAGGAGCCTCACCTCCATGAAGAGCCACAGGAGGTCCAGAACCTGGCGCACCACAGCCTGCGCCTGTGTGGGGGTGCCCGCCTCCATGACGCCCAGCAGGAAGCTCGTGAGCACAGACTCCACCAGGTACACCTTACGCTGCTCCGAGGGCGGGCACTGGTGAGGTGGTGGCCTTCCACCTACTCAGGGCACCCGTGCCATGGCATGTGGCCAAGGCCACAGGCACAGATGGACCCTGGGGCCCCCTTAAGTAACCCCAAGACACAGATGCACCTTCCGGGGTCTGACTGAGACATAGGGCCCTTCTGGGGCTTTGCCAATGCAGTTCCCCTGGCCTGTCATGTCAACCTTCTTTCTGGGACATCCCCTGAGGCCCTTAGCTGGAAGCATCTCTTCCTCTGCTGGGTGACACCCTTGAGGTCTGAGGGCTCCGGTCACACGGGGCCCCTGCCAGGTGAAGGGCAGACCTCACGCACCTTGGCATCCCAGCCCCTACACAAGCGCCTCTTCCCCTCCTGAAGGTCCCCTCACCAGGAGCGGTGCAAAGCGATGGAAGATGTGGGCCAGCGTGAGCAGGACGGTGGGCTGGCCCTGAAGCTGCCACTCCGAGCTCTCCTTCTCCACCAGCCGCCCCTCCTGTACGCGGGGGCAGAGAGGGCTGTGAGGCGCAGAGAGCGACAGAAGGTCCCCAGCTCCCCCAGCCCAGACCCTGGCTCACCGCCGGGTCCAGCTCCACGCTGAGCACTGCCCGGAAGTAGCCCAGCAACCTCTGTGCCTGCACCAGGTCAGCACGCGGCGGGTCCTGCAAGGGCCGGTAGCCCGCCACTGGGTAGGTGACACAGAGTTAAGCCAGCACCACCGCATCTGTGGCTCAGACACACCTGCCACCAACCACCACTGAGACCCTAAGGAGGGGCCTGGGCTCCAGGGCAGGCTGTGCAGGCGGACACTCTCCCACTTTCTCTCCGCAGCATGACACTCCTTTTGCTACTTCGTGCTCTTCGTCTGTTCAACTGAGATGAGGTGGTATCCACCGAAGGCCACTATAGAACTGTCCCCCACCCCCCAAAGCTGCACCCTACTCACTCCTAGAGGCTGCAGGGCCCACCCCAGCCCACGAGCTCCTGGGCAGAGAGCCCTCTCAGTTTCCCCAAGGCGTTCCAAGCAGCCCCCCAGCCTTCTTCCCAAAGGATATCGCAGAGGACGGCTGCCAAAGTTGAAGGCCACGGACTCCTTGAAGGAGAGGCTGATGGCTGGGAAGTAGGCCATGCCCGGGCCCCTGGATAAGTTCTCAAAGGCAGTGCCCAGTGACATGCCATTGCTGGAACAGAAGGGAGGGCCCGTGAGGCAGTGCGAAGGCCCCTGTTGGGGCTGTCCACCCTTAGGCTCCCCCTCCTGGGACCGGGAAGCTGAGGGCAGCCTGGGGAGGTCCCCAAGGCCAGGTCTATGGAGAGAGGCGGGAGACTCACAGGCAGAAGGACAAAGTGCCATCGTCCAGGTCGATCAGACAGCTCACGATGTCCCCCGCTGCCCATGCCTGCCAGGGAAGGAGGCCTTACAGACGCGCAGAAGCCTGGCAGCCTGCCCACTCTGCCCCTTGGGCTACATCTCCACTGCCACCCCGAAAAGACCTGAGTCCCTGTCCCCTCCTTGGTGCTCTACAGTCCCTCACAGATGCCCAGTGGCTCCTGACAAACTGGAAAAGGACATGGGCAGGTGGGCCACAGGCTCAGCCCTCACCTTGCCGTAGTTCGTCGTGGTCACGTTCCACTTGCGCACCCGGTTGCCGTCATAGGCATAGGAATTGTGCGTGTCTCCAACCCCCTCCTAGGGAGGAAGGTCTGTGAGACCCAGGGAGCTGGGCAGGGGCAGGGCCAGAGCCACCAGCCACCAACCTGGGACCCACATGGCTCTAAGGGAAGGAGGAAGCTGTTTGGGGTTGGGTTGCCCTGGGGTGGGGTGGGACACATTCCCAGAGGGCCACTGGGTGAAGGTCTCCTGGGAGGGCCCTCCTACATGTACCTCCTGATTGAAGCGGCAGTTGATGGTGCACCAGCCGATCTGCATGAGCCCCTGGGAGGAGATGAGTACCTCGTAGAGCCATTTCCCTGGAAAAAGCCAAGTCAGGCCCACCAAGCAAATAAAGACTGCCTCCCACCTCAGGCCGGGTCCTCCAACTTCCTCCCGACTCCCTGAGCCAGGTGGAGCATGGCCTCACCTTTGTACACGCACGTGGTAGAGCGGATGGTACCAAAGTTGCTGTGTCCGATCACCTGGGTGAAGAGCAGGGGTGGTGAGCCTCCTGCCAGGCAAAGGTGCCTTCCTGAGAGGGAATGCCCCATCCCTAACTCGCCCCCTTGGGGTGTGGGCCTGTTGCAGGTGGGGGAGCCAGGCCCGTGTCAGCAGGGATTCTGGGCCAGGAGCATGATGGGAGGGGCTCACAGCGACGTTCGGAAGAGCTTGGGGTTGGAGTACTTCCAAGAAGGTTTCAGGGGTATATCAGGAGGGTTTGGGGGCTAAGGACTCCATGGACCACAGTGGGAGGAGTTTGTAGCTGTGGAGCACCAAGGAAGGCAGCGACACCAGGGTCAACTGGGAGGAGCTCAGGGCTCTGTCAAAAGGGGCTTAGACCCGGGGTCCCATGCCTTGCCCTCACTCACCCCCAGAAGGTCATCATCCACCAGAAGAAGCCCTTCGAAGCCACCTGTGTGGTCCAGGACCACAGTGGAGGGGCCAAGCCGCCCTTCCACCTGTCCTGAAAGAGGAGGGGTGGGTGCAGGGTCGGCACAGGGTCTGACGGAGTGCAGAGGCTGCACTGAGCTCACCAGGGCAGCCCCAGGGCCCGCCAGGTCCACCCTGGCTCCCCCAACCCCATTCCAGAAGCGGTCACATACCCTGGCTCTCTTCTTCCTCACTGTCCACTTGTAACAGCTGGTCCAGATGTTCTGGCAGGTTCTGGAAGTTCAGGGGTTTCCTGGGGAGAGCAAGAGGCTGTGAGGGGCCCAAAAGTCCATCAAACCAGCCAGAGGACCTAAATCCCTCTCCTGATCCCCGTCCCCTGAGCTTCAGAGGGTGGCTGCCTAGACTCCCGAAAAAGGGCTGTGCCTAGTCCTAGATTCTGGCATGCTGGGGTCAGAAGACTAGAGTATCTGCTAAACTAAAAACTATGACTAGTCCAATCTGGTGCACCTCAGGATTGTTATAAAGAGTCCTCTCAAAGCCTTAATTCCCTCATCTGTAGACGGAGCAACACCGCCTGTCAGAGACGCCGTGAGGGCTCCAGGGAATAGTGCGTGTTCCTCGTACAGCCCACACCGCCCTCGATGGTGGCTATGCGGGTTATGCCTGGGGAAGGGACGCTGGGAGAAATGCTGACCCTCAACGTAGACAGTACCCAGGACAGCTAGTCCAGCCCTTGACCCCGGCCCTGTGGCTCCTTCGGGGGCAACCTTCCGGTCTCCCCACTACCCAGCCAGGGAAATCTGTGTATTGAATCAGACATGTGCTGGCAGGAAGAAGGGCTCGGCCTCTGTGCTGCTGGCTGGCTCTGTCCTGTCCCAACCTGTACCGGCCAGTAGAGCACATGGGCCGCCTCTCTGCCACCCGCCCCAGCCAAAGGGCCTGGGAAAATCTGTCTGAGTAGCCCCCTCATCCTCCCAGCTCACGTGCTCAGAGGACAAAGGGCTCTGTCTCATGCTGGTCAGCTCTGCCCTGAGTTCAGCTGCTAAGAATAGCAGGAAATGGGGTGGTGGAAACCAGCAGGTTCCAGGCATAGGAGAGGCCCAATGCCCATCTGGATCCTGGCCACAGACTGCCAGCACCTGTCCTTCTACCCTAATACCAGCTCCTACCCCATTCATCTGCCTAGAGTAGGGTCTGGAAGGGGATGTAGATGGGCCAAAGCTCCCATTCTCTACGGTAGCTTCAACTCAGTCTCAGGGACCACATGCTCCTCTCCGGCTGTGAGCTACTACTGACCCTGAGCTGCAGGAGGTAGAGACACACGAAGGTGATCTCCGTATTATCTGGTGGCGGCCATACAACGGGGTGCTCAGACAGTAGGGTTGAAGGCTGCAGCCAGTCTCATCTCTGAATACCCCAGTGGTTCAGGGGTAAAGGCGGCTTCCTCAACAGTTCTTGCTGGCCCACACGTGGGAGGGCTGCTCTGCTCTTGGCCTGCTCTCCAGAGCAGCTGTGGGCAGGCAACCTGAGACTCAGCCTCTCTAAGTGACCGAGCACTGCCCATCTGGCCCACCCCAGCACTGCCTGCCCTTTCTGGACTGCCCAGGTCCCAGCCCCGGGTTTTCCATCCGCACAGCCACTGACTGATGGCCCTGCCACCTGCTCTCCCTCCTGGCAGCCACGGCATCAGTGGCAGCAGGATCATTTCTGGTATCACATGAAGTAGAGATCATATGGCCCTGGGAACAGGCCGGGACCGCGCTGGAGTGGAGGTGAGCAGCAGCCCTCCAGAAGTAGGACCCTTGGCCACCACAGCCATTTGAATGGAACAGGCTACAGCGCTGCCTTTTGTGTCTGCCAGAGAGCAGACTGTGAAAGACAGAAGAGTCCAGGCTGGCAAGAGGCTGAGTGACAGGGAACCCAGGCCTCTCAGGAACGAGGCAGAATTTACATGAAGTAATTTAGCAACAACCTTCAAAGTGACTGCAGTTTAAACACTCTAAGCCACACGATTCCAAGCCGGGGCATCCGCACAGCATTGTCTACAAAAGCAAACGTCCCTCCATACCAGGGCATGGCTAAGGGCCGAGCCTGGCTCTCAAAGGCGCCCACTAGGACCAATCTGCAATGTAGAAAAGCACTCAGGGGATACCATTTGATGACAAAATAAGATTTAAACTTCTAAATACTTTTGGAGGTGAGGGATATGTCCTTTGTCTTTTTTTTTTTTAATCCTCACCCGAGGACATTTTTCCATTTTTTGCACAGATAGAGTGGGAGGGAGAGAACGGAAGAGAGAGAGAGAGGGAAACATCGACGTGAAAGGGACACATCGAGTGGCTGCCACCCGCACAACCGACCAGGGCCGGGGACAAACTGCAACCGAGGTACATGCCCTTAGGGGGAACCAAACCCGGGTCTCTCCGGACCGCAGGCGGACGCTCTAACCGCTGAGCCAAACCGGCCAGGGCATGTCCTTTGTCTTGATGGTAGTAATGGTTTCATAGGTTGTCTGCAATTAAAACTCACTTTAAATACATGTGATTTATTGTATGTCAATTATTCCTCAATAAAACTGTTTTTAAAAAAGGACTGATGGTAACAAAATTTTTTAAGTTAAAAAAAAATTTCTATACAGCCTGGCCAGTGTAGCCCAGTGGATGAGTACTGACCCATGCACCAAGAGGTCCTGGTTCAATTCTTGGTCAGGGCACATGCCCAGGTTGTGGGCCTGATCCCCAGTGGGGGCGTGCAGGAGGCGGCCAGTTGATACTCTCTCACATCGATGTTTCTCTCTCTCTCTCCCTCTCTCTTCTTCTCTCTCTAAAATCAATAAAGAAAAAAAATTTCTATACAGCCCTGGCCAGTTTGGCTCAGCAGTTAGTGTTGGCCCATGGACCAACGAGTCGCAGGTTTGATTCTGGTCAAGGGCATGTACCTCAGTTGTGGTTTGGTCCTGGCCCTGGTCAGGGTCGTGCGGGAGGCAACCAGTCAATGTCTGTCTGTCTGTCTGTCTGTCTGTCTCTCTCTCTCTCCTCCTTCTCTCTCTCCCTCCCTCCCACTCAATCTGAAAATAAATGAAAAACTATCCTGGGGTGAGGAAAATTTCTACACAGCATAATCCAAACTACGCAGATTGTAAGATAAAGAAATCCTGCCCAAATAGTCATGTTAGAATAGTGAGATGACTGGTGCTCTTTCTTCTCCTAAGTTTCTGCTAAAACACACTTGTAACTTTGATATGGATTAAACTTAAGTGCATTCAATTTGCAAGGAAAAAGGGCTGGTGAGATCTGTACTTTCTAGAGTCAGGCCGAGGCTACAGAGGGCCAGGGTGGATGCGGGTAGACGTGCACGGGATCAGATGCTGACTATGGAGTTGGGGTTCCACTGAGTGCTGACCGTGCACCGCCCCTCTGACTCCCACAGTGCCCTCGAAAGGAAGGTACTACGACCGCCAGGGGAGAGGAAGAAGTGGAGTCCAGATGGCACTGGCCAAAGGCCTCACAGCCAGGAGCAGCAGTGAGGAAACCCAAGCCAGCCTACTCAGAGCCTAGGCCCCCTTCCCCAAAACACGGCCTCCAGCCTCTGGTCTGGTCCTGCAGAGGGAGGAGGGCCGCCCACCAGGCCATACCTGCTGGTGGCTGCGGTGGGTGCATGGTCAGGAGAGGAAAAGACGCGGTGCAGGTAGTCATTCAGTAGCTTTTCGTGCACAATGCCTGGTCACAGGTCAGAGGGGAGAGAAGGGTCACATGGTCAGTGCAACTCTCAGCTCTGCTGGCCCCAGAGGCTCCTGGTCCTAGGCCATCCACAGGGGTCCGAAGAGCGTCATGTTGGGTGCACTGCTCCACGGCGGCTGGTGGAGAGGAGCTGGCTGACAGGTACAAGGGCTGCAGCAAGGCCAAAGAGGCTCACTGGACCTGGGACTTTGCTGCCTTTGTCTCTTCTCTTCCCTCAACACAAGGAGCCGCTTCCCAGCCCGGTCAGCCCTTACCTGTGACCCTGGATTTCTCAGTGTCTGAGGTCAGCCCATAGCTCTTGCGGGAGAAGGACATTCCAGCCCCCTTGGATGCCATTCTTCATCTCTTGTGGGCAGCCAGTGGTCCTGGGGGCTAAGCCAGAGGCAGAGGTTGTCTATTTGAAGCGGGCCAAGGGCTCCCACACTGATCTCAGTCCTACGGTGGCAGGGAGGCTGAGGAGCAGGCGAGGCCAGGTGCATGCATACTCAACACGTACCAACACAAGGCGAAGGAAAGCAGGGGCTCCCACCTTCCTACACAGGGAGGGATGTAGACCCCATGTGACAGGTCCCCACCATGTCCCAGTGCTCAGCACAGGGCCCCACAGACCAGGGGCCAGATATATGTTTGTTGAACCAAACTAGATGCCTCAACCTTGGGAAAAATCAGACCAGTGTCCAAAGTGAGGAGGCCTAGGAGCAGAGCCCCTCTATCCTTCTCAGTCATAAGCCACACTGGGTCCAGCTCACATCCAGAAGATATGCTATACCCTTCACCACATGCCCCCAAGTGTAGTCCACCATGCAGGGCTTGGTGCCATCTTCAGTCCTGCTGACACCCAAGGCCAGGATCCTTCCTTTTCTTGTCCAAAGTCCTGCTGGTTTTATTGTTCCCACTCACACACACTGCCCCCTACCCCATCAGAGCACCACTCCCCAGTCCTCATTGCAGACCCTGTTGGTCTTTCCACGGCTGGCCATCCCTCACCCGGGTGTTGCTACAACTGCTTTGAAAGCTACAAAGTCGCTGGTGCCAGCCTCACTGCCTGTCTAACACAGCAGCCAATAGCCACATGTGGCTATTCAAATTTGAATTCAAGTTAGCCCGGGCTGGTTTGGCTCAGCGATTAGAGCGTCGGCCCATGGACCAGAGAGTCCCGGGTTCGGTTCCCACTAAGGGCATGTACCTCGGTTGCAGTTTGTCCCTGTCCCCGGCTGGGGTCGTGTGGGTGGCAACCAGTGATGTGTCTCTCTCACATCAATGTTTCTCTCTCTCTTCCTCCCTCTCTCCTTCCTCCTCTATCTGAAGATAAGTGCAAAAATGTCCTCAGGTGAGGATAAAAATAAATAATAATAATAATAATAATTTTTAAATTGTTTTTCTTTATTTACTTTAGAGAAGAAGGGAGGAGGAGAGAGATAGAAGCATCAATTGGCTGCCTCCTGCATGCCCCCCACTGGGGATTGGGCCCACAACCTGGGCACGTGCCCTGACCAAGAAATGAACTAGCGACCACTTGGTGCACGGGTCACGGTTCAACCACTGAGCCACACCGGCCAGGCTCAATTGAATTTAAAATTTTTAAAATTCAATTTCTCAGTTACATCAGTCAGCTTTCAAGGATTCAGAGGCCACATGTGGGTGGTTACTGTACTACACACTGAAAAGAACCGAACACTTCCACCATCGCAGAGTTCTGTTAGCCAGCACTGGGCTAGAGCCCGGCCCTCTAGCACTGCCTCAGACAGCACTGGGTTCTCTGCAGCCCAGTCTCTTATCTCACCCCAAACAGGTCCTCTGCTCCCATCACACACCCTTGCCCATTCCCGTCCGAACCACATCTGGCCCTCGGGAAGGCGCCTGCCTCGCGCTGGGGCCCACCGCGGGCCCTCCACGGGCGTCCGTGACCGCTGCCCCTCTCACATCAGAGGAAGTGTAGGGCAGATTAGACGTGGTCGCTCATCTGATCAGCAAACCTTCCAGACATCCACTCTGGGTGTCCGGTGCTGAGGACCCAGGTGACCCAAGTGAGCGGCGGGCCTTCACTCTGCTTGGGGGCTCCCTGCCAAGTCGATCCTGCCCCGCCCCGCCGAGAGATCCGGGCTCGTAACAGAACCGACCCCATCTCGGAGCCCAAGGGCGCGGAGGGCAGTGCACGTCTCCCCCAAGTCGCCTCCGCTGGGCCCCAAGATCCGGAGGATCCTTCAGGCCAGCTCCAGCCCAGAGCCCCGCACCACAGGCTCAGACCCCCGCGCGGCAAGCACTCTCGCACTGGACCGGCCGGCGGCCGGGAGAGGAGCCGGGGGACTCGCCAGGCTCAGAGCCCGGCCACCCCTCACTCACCCCCAGCCTCCGCCGCGGCTCACAACATCCGCCCAGCCTCTCGGCTACGGCGCCCGTCCGGGGTCAAACTAAGCGCCCGCCGCGCACGCGCATCGGCCAGCGACTGGCCTCCGCCAGAGGGCCCCTTCTGCCACCTCCAGCCGGGTTATTCCCGGCTTCTCCTTTGCTCGACCACCGATGATTGCCCAACTGCCTCCGACCCCTGCCCGCGCAGGAGGCGCTGCTAGCCGAGTCATGTAGGAACACGACATTAATGTCCTAACCCGGAGCCCCAGGCCACCTATCCCAATCCTACCCTTACTTGAAGGCCCGGCCCAGATGTCTCCTGAGGACTTCTGAAAGGCTGCTCCTGCTAGGTCCTTGCTACCTGTTACCCCCACCTCCCTTCAGGCCAGACTGGTGGCCTCGCTCACTTTTCCCTGGGATGGCACCTCTGGTGGGGCAAGGGTGTCCTCTCTGGGCTCTGCTGTCAGGGGTGTGGACCCATTTGCCTACAGCTGGGGCCGATAAGTTAGCAAAAGGGGCGGGCGGCTTTGTGGCTGGGGCAGGGAACATTCCCCACTTTCCAGGGGAAAACAGGCTCAGAAAGGTTTAATATCATTGCCTAGGGGCTGCAACCCAGGCCCCTGGCACAAACCAGTGTCTCTACTGCCCTTCCCTTAAGAGCAGCCTAGGCTGCAGAGGGTCCCCACTGAGCCTTTCCAACACCTGCCCACTACATAGGGAGGCCTCTCAGGATCTAGCTGTGCCAGAATGAGGGCCCTTGCCCCTCACCCAGGGGGCTTGAGGCCTGGCCCCACCCCCATGCCTGTAACTGGGTCTCAGGTCAGGCCCCAGCAGGCCTGGAGTGGGGGTGTGGAGCCAGAGCCACCCAATCCCGAAGGGACAGGTTTCACAATTTCCTGGATGGGGCTGTGCAGGGTCACAGTACAGCCTCCAGCTAGGAGGATGGAGTGGCTTCCACTCCTGCTCCTTCTGATGCAGTGCTCGTGGGCCCCTGGTGAGTGTGCTCTGAACACCTTCCCCCCACTGATCCCCATCTGCCTTCAGGAAGAGGTCAGCCCCAGGCCCAACCTGCTCTTCAAGCCAGGAGCTCACTTTCCTACTGGGCAAGGAGCACTGAGTGACCTTGGCTCCTTGCACAGAGCTGGGTGGCCCCCGGAATACAGATACACACTGCCTATTCAAGCCTGCATTAGAATGTCTGCTTTAGCACTGAGGCAGTGTTGGGACAGAAGAGATGCACCCATGCAGGTAGTTATTCCTCACCAGCCTGATCTATCCCTCTAACCTAGCATATGCCCTCGTGCTGGTGAGAGACCAGATTTGGAGTCCGAATGCCTGGGTAGTATGACAGCTCTGGGCCTGGCATTCTTAGCTGAGAGATGAGATGAAACAAGTTCCATCGGGCAAGCACCACTTCCAACTGCTCTCATAGAATGTATGTTTTACATCTGAGCCTGGTGCCTTGCCCACGAAACAATGGTACAGGTGATAACTACCATGTCTGGGCCTGTTTCTCCCACCCTGTATAGGGGTCTGACATTGAATGTGTCCACAGAGTCCATTCCAGAGCCTTGTAGCTTTGATCTCCTGAATGAACAAAGTGTGGATGTGCTGATACACGTGAACTGACATGCATGCTCACCCTGCAGGGCAGCGCTCACCTTTAAATGACTTCCAAGTTCTCTGGGGTACGGAGCTGCAACACCAGCTACATGCAGTGGGGCCCGGGCCTTGGCAAGAGGATGTGGCAGATGCGGAGGAGTGTGCAGGACATTGTGGACCCCTCCTGGACTGCAGGTGAGTGGCCACAGGATGTGGATAAGACTGGGGGCAGAAGAACCTGGGTACTGGGTGACCCTGAGCCTTCTCCTCCCAGGGCCTTCCACTACAATGTGAGCAGCCATGGTTGCCAGCTGCTGCCATGGACCCAGTACTCACCCCACACATGGCTGCAGCGTTCAGGGCGCTGCCATCTCTTCCAAAAGAAAGGTGAATGGCTTCGGAGAAGGGTGGCCTGGGATAGCAGAGCTGGGGCCTCAGACCTTGTTGACATGGGTCTATTGCTCCCAGACTACGTGCGGACCTGCATCATGGACAATGGGGTCAAGTACCGGGGCACCAAGGCCCTCACCATGGATGGCTTAACCTGCCAGCGCTGGAGCCACAGGCTGCCCAATGACCACAAGTGAGATGGGCACCTCCTCTCTGTCTCTGCCGCTGGACACCTGTCCCCAGCATGCACCATATTGCAGCTCTCTGCACCCAGGTACACACCCACACACCAGAATGGGTTGGAGGAGAACTTCTGCCGCAACCCCGACGGGGACTCCAGAGGTCCGTGGTGCTACACGACAGATCCTAATGTGCGCTTTCAGAGCTGTGGCATCAAGTCCTGCCGGGAAGGTAAGCAGCTCCAGGTTGAGTCTGGGGCGGAAGAAGCATGCCCACACCCATCCATAAACCTACTGCCCCGTGTCTCCAGCCTCTTGCATTTGGTGCAATGGCGAGGATTACCGCGGGTCAGTGGACCGCACCGAGTCTGGACGTGAGTGTCAGCGCTGGGACCTGCAGCACCCGCACCCGCACCGCTTTGAACCGGGCAAGTACGTGCGGGCGGGCTCGGCTCCTCGAGGGCCAAGGTTAATGGAGGGCCCGAGACTCCAGGGGCGCGGCCTGATAACAAGGCAGTAGGACAGGGCCAGACACGGCCTGAGTTCCAGGGTCTCGTTCACGCCCAGTTACGGCCATCAGGTTCCTTGACAAACACCTGGACGACAACTACTGCCGGAATCCTGACGGCTCGGAGCGGCCCTGGTGCTATACCACCGACCGGCAGGTGGAGCGAGAGTTCTGCGACATCCCCAGCTGTGGTAGGACCCCGATCTGAGGCACTTGGGAAACGTGGGGGCGTGGCCTAGTTGGGAAAGGGGAGGGGCCCGGTATGACCTGGTAAGGAACCCGTGGAAATGGGGCTCGGCCTCAGTCCCAGTCCCGATCTCAGCTCTGGCTCGGTTCCGACCTCCGTCCATCCAAGGGCCCGAGGCACAGCCGCGCCAAGAAGCCAAGACGCTCAATTGCTTCCGCGGGAAGGGCGAGGGCTACCGGGGCATGGCCAACACCACCGCCGCGGGCGTGCCCTGCCAGCGTTGGGACACGCAGAGCCCGCATCAGCATCGCTTTGTGCCCGAGAAATACCCGTGCAAGTGAGGTGGCAGGCCACGGTCGCTGGGACGTACTTCTGCCCGAGATCCAGGGCGGGGCTTGGAGGAGGGCGGGGTCTGGGGTGGAGTTAGGGTCTGGGACCCACCTGCACTGAGTGATGCACCTGTCCAGGGACCTTCGAGAGAACTTCTGCCGAAACCCCGACGGCTCGGAGGCACCCTGGTGCTTCACATCACGGCCTGGCATGCGGATGGCCTTTTGCTACCAGATCCGGCGTTGCACCGACGACGTGCGACCGGAGGGTAAGGCCCGAGCTGGGGCTGGAGGCTCCTAGCCGCAGGGCTGGGGCAAGAACCGGCTGACAGCAGCACCCGCCCACCTGCTGCAGGCTGCTACTACGGCACCGGGGAGCACTACCGCGGCTCCGTCAGCAAGACCCGCAAGGGCATCCCATGCCAGCTCTGGTCTGCAGAGACGCCCCATAAATCACAGTGAGTTGGTCGGCACATCAGGCCCCAATCCTAAAACCACATGCCTCGGCCTTTCAAACTGGAGCCCGGCGGGGATTTGGGATTACCCTGCCATGAATTTGTTCCCCATCTTGCCTAGATTCACGCCTACCTCTGCCCCCCATGCGCATCTGGAGAACAACTTCTGCCGGAACCCAGATGGGGATATTCACGGGCCCTGGTGCTACACGATGGACCCAGGAACTCCATTCGACTACTGTGCCCTGCGGCGCTGTGGTGAGCGCTGGTGACACTACCCCGGGGCCCGCCCCCAATCTCCACAGTCTAAGGTTGGCTTTCTAAACTGGGTGAACGTCCCCTTTCAGATGATGACCAGCCACCATCCATCCTGGAGCCCCCAGGTACAGACAGGCCAGGTGTGGGTAGGGGGCACTTTGCCTCCATCTGCATACCATGGGGGTTTCATCAGGTACATTCTGTCTCCTAGACCAGGTGCTGTTTGAGAAGTGTGGCAAGAGGGTGACTCGTGAGGACCAGCATACCTCTAAGCTGCGTGTGGTGGGGGGCCAGCCTGGGAACTCACCCTGGACAGTCAGCTTGCGCAACAGGTGAGGCACAACAGCCTGTCTCCCCAAAAGAGAGGCTGAAGCTGTTCTCTGTTCATGCCAGCAGAGGGTGGGAACCTGTCCCTGGCCTCAGAGGTCCTAGCCAAGAGATGGCAGGTCCATCCTGTGTGCCAGGGACTCACTGTTCCCTGTAATCCCCACTCCTCCAGGCAGGGCCAGCACTTCTGTGGGGGGTCCCTAGTGAACGAGCAATGGGTACTGACTGCCCGGCAGTGCTTCTTCTCCTGGTGAGCCTCCCTTGGGTTTGGGGACCCACCCCATGCCACCACACTGCCTTTATCTTCCCCTTAGCCACCTTCCCCAGGCAAGCCAACCGGTGAGCCTTGGGGCAGCAGACTATAAGTCATGACTGAGCAGAACTTCTCTACCAGCCACGAGCCTCTCATGGGCTACGAAGTATGGTTGGGCACCATGTTCCAGAACCCGCAGCCTACGGAGCCAGGCCTGCAGCAGGTCCCAGTGGCCAAAATGATGTGTGGGCCCTCAGACTCCCAGCTTATTCTGCTCAAGCTGGAAAGGTGTGTAACAAGTCTAGAAGGTATACGGTGGGGCTGGGCCCTGTGGCCTCAGGCCCTGAGTGCCCTCATTTCTGCTGAAGACCAGTAACCCTGAACCAGCGTGTGGCGGTGATCTGCTTGCCCCCTGAGCAGTATGTGGTGCCTCCAGAGACCAAGTGTGAGATTGCAGGCTGGGGTGAGACCCAAGGTAAGAGCATAGTGCAGATCAGGGACTGCCCCAGATCAGGAAGCCAGCCCTGGATCCTACCCAAGGGCCCTCCCTTCTTCCCGTTCCCTTCACTATAGGCACAGGGAACAACACGGTCCTCAATGTGGCTTCGCTGAGTGTCATCTCCCACAAGGAATGCAACATTAAGTACCAAGGACGTGTACTCGAGAGTGAGATGTGCACTAAGGGACTGTTGGTCCCTGTGGGTGCCTGTGAGGTCAGTTGCAGGGCTCCTGGCCAGCCAGGGCAATGTGTGGGAAGCTGAGCGTGTACTACTTCATCCCCAGGGGACTGGTCTCTGCCATGGCCCAGGCCCCTCACCAGTTTTCCTACCTACTAGGGTGACTACGGGGGCCCACTTGCCTGCTTTACCCATGACTGCTGGGTCCTGGAGGGAATTATAATTCCCAACCGAGTGTGTGCACGGCCCCGCTGGCCAGCCATCTTCATGCGTATCTCTGTGTTTGTGAACTGGATTAACAAGGTCATACAGTTGGGCTAGGCCCGGCCTCAATCCCATGTACCTTGGGAAGAATGAAGCTTCCAGTCAGACATAAAGTCATCTTTCTTCTACACCTGTGCAGGGTGCTTCTCAATCTCTGCTTCTAGGGAATGAACTGGCAACTCCTCGCTAGGGCCTGGGGGGTTCGAGTCCTGCGCACCCTGGGCTGAGCAACCTTAGGCTGCCTTGGCCTGTGGGTGCTGTGGAACAGCAGGACCTCACTAGTCCTATACATAGACTGCTGGGAGAAGGGTGGTGTAGGGCAGTTTCTAACAGACAAGGGTGCAGCAGAGGGAGCCAGCCTGGTGGAGTCCCAGTTGGTCAGGACAAGCAACGACTGAATCCCTCACTGTCCTCTCTGCTCACACTGGAGGTAGATAAGGTCCTATGGCTACTACACCCAGGGCCTACTGTCTCTGAACCCTAAGGGTGGGGCTGGGATTAGGCATAGCTGGGCACAAAGTACCAGCAGGAACCAGACTCTGTCTTCATTTATTATAACCATCTAGCCCACATTTCTCGGCTCACCCATCCATGGAGTCCAGAGCCCAGAGAGCCTCTGGCTGCTCTGCCAGACCCTGGGGCTCTCCAAGAGCCACATGTCGCATCTGCCAACCAGCTTGCGCAGAGGCAGGGCTTCAGCTGCCTAAGTGTGTGCGCAGCCAGAGCACAGCATTCATGAAGCTGTCTGACTCCACCTCCACCTCTGATAATGCATGGGTGCTTTTGGGATACAGCAGGAGCCTGTAAGGGTTGAGCAGTAATGTTTGAAGTTGGAGGGTCCTCCCTGCTCACCTGCCCACCAGCTGACAGGGCTGTCCTGCACTTACCGAACAGGCACATTCCGAGTCTTGAGGGCACGGTAATACTCTATGCCCTGCTTGAAGGGCACACGCCGGTCCTTCTGGCCCAGCATCAGTAATAGTGGCGTCTTCACCTGGGTACGTGAGGAGTGATGGTGAGCAGGGCCCCAGGCACTGGAAGGATTGGCGGCACACGGGGCAGGGGGAAGACTGTGTACCTGAGGGGTGTATTTGATGGGTGACTTGTTTAGCATCTCAGCCCACATGCTGAAATCTGGCAGGCAATCATTGCTGTAGGGGAAGCCAGCCTCCACCACGCACCTGCAAGAGACTGAGCTCAGTCCCTGGAGCTCTGGGGCCTGGGCGGCTCCATGGGGGTGGGGGCTGCATGGGGGGAGGGCAGGGAGAAGGGCACACCTACCAGTCAGGGATGTCAGTGGAGCCCAACATGGAGGCAATGTTGATCACAGGGTTCCGCGCCACACAGGCACCGTATGTCTCCGGGTACTGACCAATCAGGTGGCAGGAGAGGAAGCCACCGTGGGAACCACCCATAAGGGCCACTCGGCCTTTGTCAAAGTGTTCCTCTTGGAGCACCTGCTCTACTGCAAACTACAGGGTGGGGCAGAGAGCACTGCAACCAGCCACCTGCCCAGCTGATGGAGCCACACCCAACCCCACCCTCCAGCCTGTCCAGAAGTCAAATCCCCAGCCCTGCTACCTGGACGTCCTTCACATCTTGGTGGCCCACATTGCCAGGGAGGGAGAGGATGCTGTCCTGGCCAAAGCCCGTGGAGCCACGATAGTTCACTGGAGGCCAGGAAGGGACCAGACAGGATGGTCAAGTAACATTCCCAACCTCCTGGACACCTTTATACCCATTTGTGAAGTAGGCCTCGGGGCCAGCTGCACAAAGACTGTCAAGGGGGAGGGGCTAAGAGATTTGAGGCTGCTGCCCCAGTAACCACAGCCTCCTTTCCATGGGAGTCACAAGTTAGTCTTTCTTACCACCACGCCATGGAGCCATGGCTGGGCCAGGCAGCTCCTGGTAGTGGTTACCAGGTCCAGGCTACAGATGCTTGGAGACTAGGGTGGCACCTGAGGTGTTTGTACAAACCAGGCCCACCCCACTACTCCCACAGCCCTACCAGAGCTGCGGGGCCCTGTTTACTCACCTAGTAATACTGCAAAGCCCATCTTGCAAAGCATAGCTGGGAACAGCATCCAGGCTGTGACAAAGGATGAATGGGGGCCCCCTGCAGACAGGGAGCAGAGGGTGAGAGCCAGCTAGGAGGGTTGGTGAGAGGGCAGGGGTTCTCAGGCCAGATGCCTACCGTGGGGCATGACCACCATGGGCACCTGGGTCTTATCTGGAGGGTCACTGGGCTGCAGAAGAATCGCTTCAAAGTCAAGGCCAGCTGCAGGGAGAGAGCAGCAGTCAGCAGAGCCAGTGCTACTGCCCAGGGGCTGCCCTAGCCAAGGCCTCAGCTATAGCTGCAGGTCTGGAGCTGACCTCTAGAACAGGGATCTGGCCAAGGCAGCACACACAGCAACACACAGACCCCAGGATGCTCCCGCTCCTGCCCTGGTCGGGGAACCCCCGCTGCAAGGACAGCATTCTGGGTGAGATGCAGTCACAGGCTGCATATAGGGCCTATTTTCTTTGTGCCTTGGTCTCCCCACCACAGATGACTTGGCCTGGTGACTCTATGCTCTGATACCCAGAGCAGGTACCCAGATGCCCGGACACTATACTCCCCATGACTGTCCACAAGAGGAAGAAAAAACCCTCTTGGAGATAATCCCAAGAAACCCCACAATGTGACGCAGGAGGCAAGAAAGGGGACGCAGGAGTGCTGGGGAACTTGGAGAAGGCGTCCCTCACCCCTGGCTCACCATACTGCATATTCTCTTGCTCTGGGGGTGGCTGTAGCACCCGGATGCTCCAGGAGATGTCGGGAATGAGTTCAGCCTCCTCCAGGGACACCCATACCACTGACTGTTCCTTCCCCTTAGGAGGCAGGAACCCAACTTTCTGCCAAGGGGAAAGAATGTATCACAGGGGGCCTGGTTGCCTCCCTGCCCTTCCTCCTCTGCCCAGGCTGGGAGGTGGGCAGCTTTCACAACACTGGGCCTTCTACCCCTCCACAGGGTATGGCATGAACTCCCACTGTGTGCTGGTGTACACAGAGGTACTCATACACACACCCCCTCCTCAGCTTCTAGGCTCTGCTCTCTTATGCTCTGTTAAGCCAGAGGACTGGGCACGTTCCCAGACACCCTATTCTTTCAGAGCACACCTAGCCTGGTAGTTCCTTCCCATGGGTGCCATACCCTCACAGACCATGCTGGGTTGGGCCCACATCTTGGCCTCTCATGCTGACCAGCCACAGACAGACTCTGGTGCCAGTTCTCCAACCTGGGGAGCTCTGCCTGCACAGAAGCCCTGCTCCTGACCTGGGGACCACCAACACTCACCAGGCTTGGGGGTAGGTTCGGCGTGGAGAACTGTGCCACCATGAGGTCCCGGTCCATTGTGAGCAGTTTCCAGCTCCCACCTAACCCCCCTGGAAGACAGATGCCACTAAGCACCAGGCAGGAGGCGCTACAGCAAGGTACCCCTTCTGCCCTGAGAAGCAAAGGGATGCCCACAATGGGACAGACACCCAAGTGCACACAGTCCTGAGTGAGCCTTCTGCTGTCTGTTGTGAATCCAGCAGACACTAGCTGTGCCTGGGGACTGCTAGAGCTGGGGACACACCAGACCACCAGGCCACATCTATCACCACTTGACTGCAGCCTGCAGCGGTGGCAGCCAGGCGCCGGAAGCCAGTGGGGGGTGGCAGTACTGGTTCTGGGCAGTGGTGTCCAAGGAGATTCTTAAACAGGGCCTGTATGGTGAGATGCAGTTTGGGAACGATGCTTTGGTAGCTTTGAGGTGTGAGTATAGTCAGGGCAGGAGAAGGACTCAAAAGACATTTTAGGGGCAGATAACCAGGCCTGGTTTAAGAGGAAGATGAGGACCCTGGGTGGCAGAGTTGCCTGTGCCTAAGGTAAAGGGAAGGGGAAGGATGACCCTGGCACACCTGAGCAGGAGGGAGCTTTGCAGGTGTAAGGAGCAGTGGTGGGGGCCAAGCTGAGGCAGGGCCAGGAGATACAGAGCGGAAGGGAGCAGGGAGGCAGGCTTTTGGCTGGGTAAGGGGTCTGCACAGGCAGTGTCCTCATGACACTGTCAGTAAAGGCTTTAGGACACTCAGTGGTACACTGACTGAGAGTGCCAACCCTGCCCCACAAGCTCAAGCCCCAGTCCCACCCCTGGCCTGGCTGGCCTGCTCAGCAGCCCCACTCACCAGCTGTCAGGGAGGCCACAGTGCCCATCTGGGTGTCCACAGCAAACAGGTCCTGAAACAAAGGAGGCCACGTGTAGCATCATATCCAGGAGCCCTGTGGGTCCTGTCCCCACTTCCTCTCTACCCTTTTAGGGACCCCTGGGCCAGGCCAGGGCTGTGAGCAACTATGGTGATGGCTTCTCAGTACAGTAGGGAGTGGCCTGAGGGACTGGGTTCAAATCCTAGCTCCATTCACAACTTGCTGAGTGATCCTGGGCAGTTTAAGGAATGTCTTCAAGCCCCTATGAGCCAGAATGAGGACCACATATCACACCCAAAAGGAGCCTGGCACACTGTGGGTGTCCCCACCCAATCCCTGGAAGAAGGCCTCTGCCCCAGTTCTGTCATGGCCAGTGTAGTGTTTAGGGCCCCACTCCAGTGCCAGCCCCCTTGTCCCGAGCTGGAAGTGCCTGGAGGAGGCGGCTGCAGCTATCCGTCAAGAAAGAAGGCCAAGGGATCTCTTGTGGACACTACAGGATACCGTGGCCAAGGATGGCATCTGAGTCCACCAGGGCAGCCATAGCCCTCAAGGGAAAGTGAATCCAGGACAAGGGCAGGCAGGGCCTTAAGGGACCGGTGAGACCTCGTAGCTGGATGTTCCACCCAGCAGGGTGCATATGCTATGCCCTAGGCCCAGGGCCCTCTCAACAGTCAGGGTCCCTTACCTGCCGGCTGCGCTGAGCAGAGTCAAAAACCACTCTCTGGCTGTCAGCTGACCAGCATCCCAGAGGCAGAAGGCTGCAGTAGATCCCAGAGAAGTTCTCTGCAAAGATAGGAGGGCTGTGGGGCCGCATCCAGGAGTGGAGGTGTGGAGGGTGGGCAAGACGGGTTGGGCTCCTGGGGAATTCACCCACGACACATGAAGGCACCA